CACTTTCCCACCTTCTGACGGTCAATCAAATTGAACTTATTTCTAGTTTTAAGTACAGATAGTTCAAAAAGATCAAAAACAGGCATCTGTTATTGGCTCAATATTCAGCTTTTTAATATTCATTTCTATGAGACTTGTGTTGGGGTTATTAGGAGCGAGTAATTAGTAATTAATTAATTACTTTTGGATTCTTCAATAAATTCTGTAAATATGGGAGTATTTACTGATTTATTAATTAATTAAGATATTCTTAGATATACGGGGCACCATTCCCCTTTAACCGGGGAAAAATTGAATCCAAAACTCTTATCAGTCTTTCTTGAAGTTCGTAGAATCCTTGGAGCAGAGACTTCTCTTCGACACAACAAAGCTACTGGAGACGAAAATCTGAATTTTATAACGTTTAATTAACAATTTGTCAAATGAATAAACAGTGGCATAAATGAATAATAACCATGTGATATAATAAAAGGATGTATATTCAAAATAATGTTCAAGGTGTTTTGTGTGTATGTATGTGTGTGTGTGTTTCTAAAATGGAGTCTGTATGCAAGATGGCTGACCCCTTTGTCTGGCTAAAGTGTGGGTGGCAACTTGCACTTTAACTTCCAAGGCACTTAGAATCAGTAATAACTTAACCTTAAATCACTCAAAACATTTCAAAGGATCATGAAACAACACAAAAGATTAATCACGAATAATATCTTTTAGTTTAACCACGTGGCCAAGCAGAAAACATTTAAAGATACCAAACAATGATCAATAAGCAGTTTATTCTTTCAAAATGACCCGACGGACGAGTTTGGGAATGAAAGAGGAAAACACGAAGCTACTTTTTAAGCAATAGCGCGGTTTTATTGCTTATTCTGGACTATAGAGGAAACGGGAGAAGAAAAGGAGAGAGAGAAATGAGTTTTCTGATCACCAGAACAGCAAGGCGTCCCCCGCTGTTTTGATTTGACGGTTCTCCGTGTTTCTCCGTGTTTCTCCGTTGTTTGGCGTCGTCCGTCGGTTTGATGCTTTCTCCGTTGTTTTGGCCCCACGAGTGTTTCTCTAACGGGCTGGACACAAAGAGAACGAAGTTTCTTTTGTGCTGAGTTTGACAACTTACAGCGTCTCTGAGAGCTGGATGGAGCTCCGCTCGTTCCCAGTCAGGTCCTGATGGAGTTGGAGTGTAGTTTCCAGCAGTTCCGTGGGCTCAACTTGGGCACTTAGAGCTTCCGCGTGCTCAAGGGAGTCGGAGCGTTCGACAAGCGTGTCCTTACCGCCAGGTATCCTGGGCAAAAGAACGAGGTTTCTTTGTCTCTGCTGAAGATTTATGGTCTTAGTTCGCGGGAAAAGCTCCACGGCCTCCCGCACATGCGCAGAACGTGTTTCTGGTATTAGGCGGTGACATCATCCCAATGCTTCCGTGTGCAAAGCATCATGGGAAATGAGGTTTCTTGGCGCTGATGTGATTATTTGCTTTTCAGAGCAATTTAAGCACAGTCATTTTGGAGAAAATCACTGCATAGTAATTTCCTCATGAGGTCAGACCCTCAACACTTGGTTAAAGTGATTTGTAGTTCCTCGTGTTGCCATGGTAACAGATAACACATTTAAAATTGAATACAAGATTCTTGAGACCAAACTGGTCGATTTGATGTGTCATATGTGTGGGTGCTGGATCCTGATTGGACAGAAAGTGGTTGAACACTCAACTAATCAGAGAGTAGCACTGTTTTCCCGCCTTTCCCCCTGGCTGTTGGAGGCCTGCAGCTGTACTCCTGTTACTGAGAGAAGCCTTTAAATCTGTCCTTCAGAAGTGAAATTGGACCTGTCAAACTTTTCATCACCATTCGAAAAGTACTGCACCGAATTGAAAAATTCAAAAAGCGTGAGCAGCAGAAGGCTTTGTTGGTCATCTGTGTCCATTTTTATGTGCCTACCATGAATTGTCTAGAAGCTATCATGAAAAACTTTTAGTTGTCTGAAGCGGATCAGAGGAGAAAATCTCTGTTCCTTTAACGTGGGTTTCAATGAGGGAAAATCTGGGTCTCTCCTCTTTCTGAGGCTTGTAGCGAAAGAACGGTAACACTTACAGATAAAATGAAGCCCATTCTGAAAAGCTGACAAAAATTCCAACTTTTTGAGTTATAATTTGTTTTGGTAGTCCAAACGGTCTGGGGGTAGTAAAGAGCTGTTCACAGAAGATGTGAAGTTCAAAAGTTAGAGTGCGGAACCTTCAGTTTAGAGTGGTGAGAGACATTTTTTTAAATTTGAATTTTCTCAAACAAATGAACCGTACGACCACAATGTTTGGAGTACAGTCATAGGCGCCATTTTAACCGGGGACATGTCCCCGGCAAAATTTGTGATTGGCAGCTGTGTCCCCCCCACTTTCAAAAACGCCTGCTGATGAGGATTTTTGTTTTACCAGCTCAGATCTTATACCGGGGTCGGCAACCTGTTCCCATCAAAGAGCCATTATTACCCATTTCCCACAGTAATTTTGGACGGAGTGGAGCAGGCAGGTCGCGCTAGAAAATTTAGTTTAAAAAGACGTCATAAATGTGTTCCCCCGTCATTTTTATTTATAAAATATGAAGTAAAAACTCACAATTTAATTTTCATTCATTTGTCATTAATATGTAGTCTACACCCGTGCGTTAAGTGGACCATCATCCAGTAAAAGCAAAGCTGCAGCCCACCTCTCCAAATGCGTAAAATGTCCATCAGCCGCTAGTTAGGCGCGCCGCGCGCACCATCAGCTAATCAGCCCAGACAAGAGCAGAGCAACTAGAGAAGGAATAGAGGATAATTCTGTCTGGATGTGGATGGAGGTTACATTTTACAGCAGCCTGATCATCATTTAAATACGTAAACCATCACCTGGCTTCTAGTCCATGCTATCAGCATTATTTTAATTGGTGTGTGTGTGTGTGTGTGTGTGTGTGTGTTTTCCACTTCAAACACTGGTCTAACCAACCAGACCAGCATGTCCAGTAACATATTAATGTTACAATTAAACAGTTTCACTTCATGTAGGCTAGGAACATTTCACCTGCCGTGGCCCGACCGCTTCTGCTCCACATAAACTTTGTGCGTGATCAAATGTCTCTACCATAGACTGTACATATACTGGACAAACGGATTCCATTGGCTTCAATAACACGTTTGTTGTCTATAATGGGAGGTGGCCACCACCGCCATTTTGACCGTGTCACAGGTTCCGTCCAGCCCAGACAATTCCATAAAAGGGAAGAGAGGAGGCGCTGAGGGTGTGGCTGTAAGGCTGGGCTCGAGTGACGACACCCAGGCGAACTAGCTACGAGCTAACCTGAAGCTAACCCTGGCTAACCCAAAGCTAAAGCGGAGGTGGGAGCCGAGCTAACGGATGTAGCCACCTAGCTTCAACCCAACCGGAGCTAACTGGAACACCCATCGACCTGAACCTTACACGGAGTTTAGGTGGAGGTTTTCTGCGCCTGTTCGTGAGAAGTACCAGTATTAAAACAGTTTTAAATCGGTAAGTTTATAATTTATTTCCGTAATGAAAACATTTTGCTTTGAGCAAGTTTTCAGTAGTTTTTTTCGGCGCTATCACTCCTGAGTCGCACCAGCCATTAAATGTATCATGAAGAAGAGAACATATATTTAAGTCGTATTTTGGGGTGACATTTTATTATCTTTCTTACAAAATCTGAGACCAAGCGTTTCACATTGCAACACAAGCACCGGTAACCATAACAGAATGAACAACAGCCAGCAGAGGAGAGGATGGCGGTGTTTCCACCCCTCCCGGCCGGCGAGGAGAGCTCATTCCTGGGCTAGAGCCGGCCCTCAGCACCCCGCCACAGGCTCTAACAGATGCTGGCGGTGTTTGAAACCCTCCCAGCGGGACAGGGGAACTCATTCTTGTGTGGGTCGGAGTCGGCCCGCAGCAGCGCGGTGTAGCCTACATATTTTGTTATATAAGTCGCTCTGGAGTATAAGTAGCAGGACCAGCCAGAATATGTAAAAAAGTGCGAGTTATAGTCCGGAAAATATGGCAGTTATTAGTATTCGAGCTAAATTAGCAGCCTAAATACATTTCATATATTTCCAAAATGTAATACTTGTTTGTATCTTGTACAGCCAACTAGTCTTTATTCTGGACTCAGTACAATTTACCAAAAGTAAAGAGACATTCTACAGATGAAGTAAGCACAAGATAACTTACTGGAAGACACGGAATTATCATGAGAACCAGAACAAGAGAGCCTGATAACAGTCATGTGAAAATAACAGTTAAAAAGTATGTAAGTGTAATAGAAATAAAAAATATATTAGAATTAGTGTAACTCACTGTGATCCAAACAATAAATCAGCCATAGCTGATTAGTAAATATGACATGAGGTCTTGGAGTTTTTAATTTTCATTTTTTTCTTAGATCTGTTTAAATGTCACCATGGCAGCCTGTGTGTCTCCAACATCAGCTACACAAAGCAGCAAGTGTAAGTTCCACATACCTGTCTCACCACTTCATGTATGGTTTTGTACTTTAAACAATTATGACAAACCTGTTATTTTTTCTCCATAGCCATTTGGATCATTGGAGACAGCTATGTGAGGCGGGGTGCCCAGAGAGCTGCAGAGACAACCTTGGCCTCCCTGACGTCTGTGTCTCCTGGTTCGGTTGGGGCGGACCATCGACATACATACATGTGCCGACACTTTGCGCCCTGTTTTATAAAATGTAGTGTTAAAAATAAATGTTTTTTGCTCAATTACTGGAATTTCATTGGTTAAGACAAAAGTGAGGAATAATCATTTACAAGTTATTTGTACAACAGGCCCATTTTAAATCCCAACAGTTTCTTAGCAGACAATAGAAATGTGTTCTTTACTAACTTTACTTGGTTTAAAAATCTTACTAAAATAGTGGCGTATTGCAAAACCCAATCATACTTATGTAAACATTAGCTTTGTAGATATTTTTTACAGATCTATATTTGTGTGCAACAAATCCAAACTTAAATAATTTGTCATTCTTTATTGAAAAACAACAAAATACAGTTATACAGAAGTGTGGGAAAATGATAATGTGAAAGTATTGCTATTTAAATGTAATCCTATTTATCTTTAAAAAGAAAAACTCTAAAAATGTCCTGTACAGCATCATGACAGAAGAATGGTGGTCTGTCTGTCAGAATGTGCTGAACAGATTTGCTCTTTGAAGAGGAGTGTCATGTTTGGAGGAAGGTACTTAACCCAAGACATGCAGAATACAACACTGACCAAAAACTGATGGAAAAAATGATTTCTTTATAAGGAGGAACTTAAGGTGCACAGATAAGTCTGTGGTTGGAACTGCAACAACAGCTCAGCGTCTGGAGGAGGGAGAACACAGGTGAGCTTAGGTTCTGGTTTCAAAATCCATTGTAGGCAGGCAGAGGTGTTCAGCAGACTTACTGTGGTGGGTGTATGTGTTGGCTGGAGGAGAGAGAGGTAGAGAGGAAGCGCAGGAGAGGGAGCAGAGGTGGAGAGAAGCGGGGCGTCCTGGTGGATGGGGCACTGGGTGAGATGAGAGGTGGGTTATGGAGGCTGGTGATAAGGTCCGTGTGTTGAATATCCAAATCCTGGAGTAGAGGTCAGTATCCAATGAGGTCGACAGGAATCCTGAAGAATGGTAAATCCAATATAAGAGCAAAAACACTACGAAATAACATTAATCCTAGGAACACTAGAGGTAACACGAGTGGCTGGTTACTACCAAAACTGAGGCAATCTTCTGGCGTCAACTTGTGTCCTCCATCCACCTTAAATAGGAAAGCACCCCGCTGATTGCTGATCAGGAACGGCTGGGGTGGAGTCACCAGAACCATGAAGAACGTGTCTCCAGAGACAACCCGGGTCCTGGTACCGATCAGGAAGCGGACCTTATCACCCAGAGCTGCCAGGTCATGCTCAAAGCCTTCATGTTCACGCTGCAGAGCCTGAACGCTGGCCAGGTCGTGGCCGTAGTTGTCTGTGTTCAGGGCCTGGTTCTTCTCCTCGATCCACTCTTTGGTCTCATCAGCATCTCTGAGAAGACATCAGAACTCCGTCTGAGTGTGGGTCCAAACTACTGACCCGTAAGCGGCGCATAAGTGTGCGGGGTACCTGTGGAAGCGCTGCACCTCATGGGCGCTGCCCAGCATGTTGCTCCGGTCTTCAGCCAGCTGTTGCAGCGAGCGCCAGCAGTTGTTCAGCTCCTGGAGAGAAACCAAACCCAGTGAGATGAAGGTGGACGCCAGCGGGCTGGACGCCGGACAAGGAAACCTGGAGACGGATCGCTCAGACAGGAAGGGAAGAGCTTCCTCTTACCTTGATGGAATTAAAGTTAGCCGTCGTCTGAACGCCCAACCGTACGGTCTGAGGTCAAAGGTCACAGGAAACACACACCAGTCAGCAGTCATACAGATACATAAAGATAACTGTAGCCATGGCAACCAGCTGACATGTCCCCACTTTCACCAGCACCTGGTGCCTGCCGGGTCACCTGAATTCCTTTGTGATGTCAGCACGGTCGGCCGTGACTGCGGCCATCAGAGGTGACCTCTGATCAGCTGAATGAACTCACCTTCTAGGGTGACGCCGTCTTACCCCGGGTTTCCACGGGAGCCGTCAGCAGCACGTTACTGCAGCAGCACGTCTTGCTCGCGTAAGCTGCTGCTTGGCCCTTCCCACGAGACGCGAAGCAGCAGGGGAGCAGCTGTCACCGACCGAGCACGAAGTCACACGAGTGACTTCATCAGTAAACACAACAACAAGCAGGAGAAAACTACAACATGGTTTGTGTTTTATGTTCTGTCCATTTTACAATCGCCAATACGGACCTGAAAAACAAAGGAGACCGCTAGCTAGGTGATAACTTCTCACGGGGCCGCACAGTTAGTAACTGTTTTTAAAATTAAAGCAACCGGAAGGCAGTACGTTCTTTATTCTGAAAATCTCGGTAGCTTCTCTCAATTTCCGCGTCCGATTTCCTGTCTTTCCTTCCCCAAAAATGTCGAACTTGACCCGTTTCAGAGGCGTCGCGCGTAGAAAATAGAACCGGCGCGTAAAGGCCGCGACATGCTGCTCCTGAGACGCGGCCGACTCGCACTGCTGACGGCTCCAGTGGAAAAGGTTCTGTTGACCACAGCGGTTCCTATCAGCAGCTATGACGTGCTGCTGACGGCTCCTGTGGAAAGCCGGGGTTAGAGTCGGCTTCATCCTGTAAACAAACAAATGAGTGGTAACAAAAACACCACGTCTGGTTCTGGTGGAGGCAGAGGACAACACGCACCTTTCCAGGAGCAGAACCCAGATGTTCTTGTTGCTACAAACAGAGACGAGCAGAGTTAACAAACCAGGAAGTGAGAGGGACCAGCTGCTGCAGACAGGTGACGCTCACCTGAGCCTGAACCATAGGAGCCTCCTCAGCCATCAGACCTTCTGACTCCAGTTCAGATGCCACCTTGTTGATGTCCCTCAGGCGGGACTCGTTGGCCTTCAGGTCCTGCAGGACAAAAGCACAGCTGATTATCACCTGAGCTGATCTGACAGCTGCTGCTGGAAGACGGAGAGGAGGAAAAGTCCGACCTTCTGGAAGTCGTCAAACTTCTTCTGCAAGACCTCGACCTGCTCCAGGTCCGACCCGTCTCTCCATCCTCATTCAGCTAAAGACGCGAGTTCAAGTAAAACAACCTAAAGTCACACAAACACAAAGCAGGTGTGGAGATGTTCGCTCTGAGCTGGAGGTCGTTCCTCGGCTGTGAAGGGCACACGAACCTTGTTGGTGCTGTTGAGCAGCGTGAGGATGTCGCCCTTCTTCATGGTGACCTCTCGAGGACTCTTCTCCTGGTAGTCGTACAGAGCCAGAACCAGCTCCTTCCCGGTCTCATCGTCAGTTGGAGCCACTTGTTGCTGTCGGGTTAACAGGTCTGGTGTTAGAACGTGGTGGATAAGAATGTTCTGACGGGCCGAGGGTTCTGAACCAGCGAAGTGACCTGGACCCAAACAAAGTGAGCCAGAACCTGCAGACACCTCAGAAACATGTCAGGACCAGACCTGCTCTACCTTCCTCCATTATGGTCTCTCCTTTCTGGGTGACAGCCTTGATGCGAGGTTCATGACCTGTGATCTCAGCCTGCAGAGCCTGGTGCTTCTTCAGCAGGTTCTGGACACCAATCAGGTCCTTCCCTGAGGACACATGTTAGAGTTCAGCATTATGCAGTAGACAGACCAGTTTAACCCAGGGGTTTCTTTCTTCTACAATCTGCTCTTTAACTGTATTATTTCCTGCTATTTCAGCTGTTAACTTTATTTTTTCTCTAAGTGTTTTTCTCCCCAGAAGAAGCTACAATGATGTTCTGCTGAGCTGTGGTGGCCTCATGGAGGGGGCCATCATCTAGCACACTGCTGCTAACCACTTAATCATTCTCCCTCTCCTGATAATAACATTTTACTTTCTTTGATGTTGGATGTACTACTGCTAGTTTACCCGTTTAATTATAGATTCACTAGGATAAATACAATAAAATTTATCTTTCGCCAAATAGAATATTTACTAAGAAATCACAATGTAACGTGTGTGTGTGTGTGTGTGTGTGTGTGTGTGTGTGTGTGTGTGTGTGTGTGTGTGTGTGTGTGTGTGTGTGTGTGTGTGTGTGTAAAAGCCATGTGTAGTGTTTATTTATAAAGCATATGTTGTTGGATTTTATCCAGAATCGAGACTTTGAAAATATATTGTTTAATTACAGTTTGATTTATTTGACATCTGTATAATGTTTATTATTTTGTTTTTTCCCCCTAAATGCCTAACGTTTGAGTTTAACATGAATATCAGTCATTCATCCCAATACATGAAGTTACACATTTTAAATTTTAATAGGGGAAGACTGCAGGAGGGAGCGGTAAAATCATAGACTGTACATACTTGCTACCCGCCGGCTGTGATCACAAGCAACAACATATTAGTTCCCGCTGCTTCTTCGGTAAACAGCGCCAACAAAAACAAAGAAACTTGGGATCTTGTCGGCGTGGCGGTGGGATTTAAGGGAAACGCTGTATGCCCTATAGACTTCTCACCGAGCTGCAGTATTTCTCCGGTCAGATCTGTCTCTGAGAGCTCCACGAGCGGTCAGCCCGCGCAGAAACTAGCCGCCGCACCGGTCAGGCTGCCTGGCCTGACCGCTGGGGATTACCGGATGGAAGAATGGACACAGGTGTCACTCCAAGCCTGCTGGAGATTTTAAGGGTTCAGATGAAAACACCCTACCACTCAGGCTGCTTACACATCGATATTAAGTTGTCGCTGTTGCGCTCACGCCATAATACAGTATTAGATGCGGTTAAAGTCAGACATGAAAAACTCCACGAGCGGTCAGACCACGCAGCAGCTAGGCGCAGCAAGTAGGCGCCGGATCGGTCAGGCTGCCCGGCCTGACCGCTGGGGATTACCGGGTGGAAGAATGGACACAGAAGTCTCCCTCTTAGCGCTCCGTCATATTTCAACCCATTTTGATCTTTTACCATATTACCCATCTAAATATGCCCTATTAATTATTTTACCGTATTTTACATTTAAATTTCGTGGTTAAACAGTAAATGCTACATGTTAAACTGATGGTTAGCTAGCTACTTCGGTAAACTCAGCTAGTTTAAAGGCAGCAGTGACATAAAATACGAATATAGATTTTAACTTACCGAAAAAAATGAAGTGGAGACTCCTTGGACGCTCTATTAGTGCAATTAATACCACTGCAAGTCATTTTGTCCAACAATTGCATCAATAATATCCAAAACAGAATTCACAAGCACAGAGACTCAAAATCCCGAAACAGCTTCCAGGAGGGGCCGAGGCTGTACTGAGGCCTTTCCACGGAGCTAGCTCTGTGGTCACGTGGGTCTGAGGCGGCGGTCACGTGTGTCGGATGCTCATTAATTATACAGAATTTTAGGCTTTCAATACAATTAAACAGAAGAGTGAGAAAAAATTCACCCCCCTCAGAGTTGTCATGAGTATAAACTAGATAATTTAGACAAAAAACATGTTTTGGCACCAGGCTGTAAACATGTTTATTTCTGCTGTGAAATCGGCATTTTCAACATGGGAGTCAATGAGGATTTGCTCGCTTCTGTCACCAGCCCCCAGCGGATGAGGGTGGAACTGCAATTTTTCTTACTTCCGGGTTGGGACCATTTTCTGAGCGGCATTGTGGGGGCTTGGTCTCTACGCGTCATGCGTCTCCATATTAGAGACGGGAACAAGCGCTGTTCAGCCAAAGTTTCATAATTTCATAAAAAGAACATTTTTCCAAGTGACATCCCTCAGAGAGACCGGGTTTCCAGACTGTTTCAGTGGGAGGAAATCTTATCGCATGCGCCATGGTTCTGCACTGCGCTGCGAACCCCAGATCTTCAGCTCACTGTCCACCGTGGGCGCTCCGAGCCACGCTGAACACAGTGTCCAGTATAAAGCTCTGATGTTCTGATGGGAATATTTTACCTCCGCAATGTGCGTTAACGATTAAAATGTCAGCTCATCCATGCGCATCAGTGTGCGTCGGGGTAATTCTTTCAAACCAAGCAACATCCTTGAGTTCATCTGTCAAAATAAACAGTCAAATGGAAATATATGTAACCTGCCGTTTAACTGTTTTGCCTTCCTGTGAAGATTGTTGCAAAGAGAAACAATTAAACTTGATTAACCCCAGAGCCACCCAGAGAACCAGAGCGCATGCGGGAAGGTTCCTCCCACTGAAGCGAGTTTTTTCCAAACCCTGTCTCTCAGAGAGACTTGTCACTTAGAAAATGTTCCCTGATTATGAAACTTTGGCTGAATAGTGCTTGTTCCTGTCTCCAATGTGGCGACACATCCAGGAGCCGTCTGAGGAGAATACCAGAATCTCACATTGTCTTCAGCTCATAAAGTGCCTATATGATTACGCACAAGCGTGACCCGTCAACCCGGTCTCACAGTAAGACCGGGTTGGACCTGTTCAGGTTTACGCAGACCATCTTTACATTTAGAATTGGCATTCAGGTGTAAAATTAATGCTGTTGTAACCCAGGTTATCTTCCAGGGTTATTGAGCCTAAATTCCTTTTAAAAAATTCTCCATTGTTAGGAACCGTTTTTCGGTAGTATAAAAAATTACGAGGGTTACTTGAACGCAGCATGGAGCCGAGCTGCGCAGCCCTCCCCACACCGGAGAAAAAAAACGTTTTGGTCCGTTAGGCTGAACAGGTGAGCAGAAGTTCAGCTAACTGCCGTCAGCGAAGTAATAGGTGACTGGAAGCTTCTAGAAATAGTGTGTTCGCTACTGAAGGAGGAGCCGTTAGAAGTAGACCTCGATTTGTTTTTTGAAGAAACCCTTTGGCTTGTTGATTGAGGTTTAAATCACCTTTTCCTGCCTGGAAAGCCAACACATTTAAAGACTCAGATGCACTGCTTTGGTCCACTGGGGAGGTATTAATACTCATGGGTGCCACATCCATGGCAGGATGTCTTCATCATATCCTGTCTCATCAAAGATGTGGTAGGATCATTAAGACCTCTACACGATTCAAAGGACTAAGGTTTTTTTTTTTTTGCCCTTCCTGAGTGAGGGTTTGGACACTTTTTTTGGCAACTTTCCAACATTTTAGTGGACTGAATTACCAATTTGCCCAAGAGCAAGAAGACTGTGTGACATAGTCCTGAACACTTTGTTAAAGGACAATTGGTTTTATTTATTTATTTTCTATTTTTTGATTTTTCAATTTTTATCATTCCTCTAAGAGCCCTCTAGGAGAGGGACTTTAGCATTTATTTCCTTTATGATGAATATTACAAACTGTTACATATTTCAATATATTTAATTTATTGAATTGATTGTTGTGTGTGTGGTTTGTGGGTTGGAGGTTTCAAACTTCAGGTAATGAGATACTACTGCTAAGAACCCAGAAATAGAGTTCAAAGGAACAAAAAGCAAGAAACCTTAGTAAATAAGACACATTTGATCCTGTAGCTCCCACAACACTTTAACCTTGAAGAAGTATTCCACGCTGATATATTTGAATACACATACTCAGTTTTTTCAGGGAGCCACAGGTTACACTGTAAAATATAAAGCTTTTTATTTAAATATCCATTCATTATTTTACAAGCACATAGAGCCGCATCAGATGGATGGAAGAGCCGCATGCGGCTCCAGAGCCGCGGATTGCCGACCCCTGTGCTAGCCTACTTTATTGTCCCCAGCAATTTTTAAACCCCACTCAAGTGTATGGTTATTTTCCCCAGCAATTCTGAAAACAAACTGACGCCCTTGAGTACAGTCATGAATTATAGCTCAAAACGAAGGTATATTCGTTAGCTGTAAGCCAGCGTGTCTCATTTCAATTGGACCTACGGTTCTCTCGGGACAAAGCCAGAAATGGAGCAAGGGAGGGTCACTGCTCCTATCTTTCCCCATTATAACTTTTGTGAATTTTTCTGAAAATGTCAAGTTGTACCTCATCTTCTACCTGCGATTTTAGGAAAAAACGTAAAAAATATCAAAAAGCCCCTTTAATATGTTAAACAGGAAAGTCTTGTGAGTTTGTTAAACTTTGAATGAAGTCTCTGAGTTAAAAGGAACCCAATAGAGTTTTAGGTCAAAAAAGTGATTGGAATTTGCTGAAAATTGACCAATCCCATTCATTTTAATGGGAAAATTCTTGCAGAAAAAGCTTAATAACTCGAAAAATTTTAAAGATATCAATGCCAAAAGTAGTAGCCGGAAAGAGCTTAACGAGCTGAACGTTTTGATATAAAATTGTTGAAATAGCTCAAAATTTGAAGGAGAGGAAGAGGTTCAAATAGTGTACGGAAGAAGAAGAAGAAGAAGAAGAAGAAGAAGAAGAAGAAGAAAACAATTGATTGAATGCTTAACAGCATTCAAACAATTAAGTCTGGAAACAAAAGCAAAGGGATGCTCTTACAGCACTGTCTTAATCTGATCCATGGGACATAATTATATCTTGGTATATTTGTTAGTCATTGGGGGTGCTCTGGTTCATACTGCATATTTGTTCAGAGCAGCAATTAAAATATCCTTTTATGTGAAGTAATGTTGCTTTCCTATTTTGTAAGCTGCTTACCTTTATTGCAGCATCCTTCTCATTCAGCAGAGCTATTTGCATGAGTGTAGAGCAACATTAAAGGCTTTTTTATGTGTGTTCGTGTGCTTTTGTGCTTTCCCAACCTCAGGGTTTTACAGGCGATGAGTGTCCCGCAACATGGATGAAGCTTTCTCCCTTAAGCATACAGTGTGTGTTGAGGTGTGTCTATGGGTGTGTCTTCTGAATGCGTGTCTGGGAATATGTGATTTCCCAATGACAAAGCTCTGTAATAGTAGGGTAGGCTTTAGTCATAACGCACTAGAGATAATCTGCTGGTTTACCAACAAAGCTCCCAGAACACCCACACTGCAAAAGATCTGAATCACTTTCAAAGTAGAGCAGTAAAAGACTGAGAACCCAAAACGTAGGAATAGATTGTGTAGGTTTTTTTCTTATAGAACAGATTGATGGTTACTATGTGTACACAGTTTTGTGATAATCTCATATAAAGTGAACAGATGAAATAGCTCGCTGTGTAAGATGTTTATGGTCTCAGCGAATGTGTGTTTGATAGGCTTGCTGCAACCTGCTCTTCTCTCTCAGTTCTCCAACTCACACACACACACACACACACACACACACACACACACACACACACACACACACACACACACACACACACACACACACACACACACACACACATTGGTGAAGAGATTAAATCTGACAGATAAGCACCTTTACTTGCAGGTGCTGGAGCAGGTTCTGTGAATCTTAAAGAAGCACATTGGACAGATATTAATCTCACTCTCTCCCTCTATACTTTGCGCTGTTTTCTTTTCTTTCTTTTTTTTTGCTGGGATTTTTTTTTGTGTGAACAAAATCACAGGTTAACACTTTGGATCGTAACCCCAAATTATTTCCAATTCTGATTTTAGACCAAATAACAAACCAAATGGTTTTAACGGCTCCTGTAGGCTCTAATTCTAGGATACCTGTTTTATCTTTTTTTTTCTTTTTGGGGTGGGGGTGTGGGAGGGGGTATAAAAGATCTCTAAAGTTTATTTTTTAATTTAATTAGCTGCAGAGAATGGTATTTGTCAAGGTGGTGGTCAAGTTTGTGCAGACTGCCAAGTATGATGAAATGCTTACTTTAGCAAGATGTAATTTTAATCCCATTTCTATAAATGTGATTGATTAATATCTTTGGTGCAAACGAGTCTGTCAGACTAGAATGAGAATAAATAGCTCAACCTTTTGTTTTTCTTGGTGGTGCTTTCAAATAATTGATTTTCTGATCTTTAATAAAAAACAATATTGTTATGTACAGCATGTCTGTAAGTCATAGACATATGGAAGTTATTGTATGTTTGTTATATTTGGATTTAAATCATTCTAAGGTGACGAAAACAAAAACACACCGTTTGCCTGTGCTTTAGCACAAATGGAGACAATAACTAACTCACATCAGGTTTCCATTTTTTTAATTAGAATTAACCATTTTTTACTGATTTAATCCTCAATGATAATTATTTATTTACACAATTTCTGGACTTTACTGCTGAAGATTCTGTTTTTGCTTAATTAACTAATCTTAAAAAGTATCAAGTAACTGTTTAAAAATGTTTTTGTTGTGTTAAAACAAACTCTTCTAGCAAGAAATTTAGAAACCATTTTGCTTGAAGCTGTTGTTCACTCTGGTTTATTTGCTTCAATAGATCGAGACCTTTTTCAGGTTTTCTGAGGATAAGCAACTCATACACACTAAAAAAAGCATACAGGTGTATATTTGTGCCCTCCTCTTGATTTCAGACTAGGGATGGACAATACAGTTGGGCAAAAAAGTATTTAGTCAGCCACCGATTGTGCAAGTTCTCCCACTTAAAATGATGACAGAAGTCAGTAATTTTCATCATAGGTACACTTCAACTGTGAGTGACAGAATGTGAAAAAAATATCCATGAATTCACATGGCAGGATTTTTAAAGATTTAAATTGTAAATCAGGGTGGAAAATAAGTATTTGGTCAATAACAAAAATTCAACTCAATACTTTGTAACATAACCTTTGTTGGCAATAACAGAGGTCAAACGATTACTATAGGTCTTTACCAGGTTTGCACACACAGTAGCTGGTATTTTGGCCCATTCCTCCATGCAGATCTTCTCGAGAGCAGTGATGTTTTTGGGCTGTCGCCGAGCAACATGGACTTTCAACTCCCTCCACAGATTTTCTATGGGGTTGAGGTCCGGAGACTGGCTAGGCCACTCCAGGACTTTCAAATGCTTCTTACAGAGCCACTCCTTTGTTGCCCGGGCGGTGTGTTTGGGATCATTGTCGTGTTGGAAGACCCAGCCACGTTTCATCTTCAAAGCTCTCACTGATGGAAGGAGGTTTTGGCTCAGAATCTCACGATACATGGCCCCATTCATTCTGTCCTTAACACGGATCAGTCGTCCTGTCCCCTTAGCAGAAAAGCAGCCCCAAAGCATGATGTTCCCACCCCCATGCTTCACAGTAGGTATGGTGTTCTTGGGATGCAACTCAGTATTCTTCTTCCTCCAAACACGACGAGTTGAGTTTATACCAAAAAGTTCTACTTTGGTTTCATCTGACCACATTACATTCTTCCAATCCTCTGCTGTATCATCCATGTGCTCTCTGGCAAACTTCAGACGGGCCTGGACATGCACTGGCTTCAGCAGCGGAACACGTCTGGCACTGCAGGATTTGATTCCCTGCCGTTGTAGAGTGTTACTGATGGTGACCTTTGTTACTGTGGTCCCAGCTCTCTGCATGTCATTCACCAGGTCCCCCCATGTGGTTCTGGGATTCTTGCTCACCGTTCTCATGATCATTTTGACCCCACGGGATGAGATCTTGCGTGGAGCCCCAGAACGAGGGAGATTATCAGTGGTCTTGTATGTCTTCCATTTTCTGATAATTGCTCCCACAGTTGATTTTTTCACACCAAGCTGCTTGCCTATTGTAGATTCACTCTTCCCAGTCTGGTGCAGGTCTACAATTCTTTTCCTGATGTCCTTCGAAAGCTCTTTGGTCTTGGCCATAGTGGAGTTTGGAGTCTGACTGTTTGAGGCTGTGGACAGGTGTGTTTTATACAGATAATTAGTTCAAGCAGGTGCCATTAATACAGGTAACGAGTGGAGGACAGAAAAGCTTCTTAAAGAAGATGTTACAGGTCTGTGTGAGCCAGAGATTTTCCTTGTTTGAAGTGACCAAATACTTATTTTCCACCCTGATTTACAAATAAATTCTTTAAAAATCCTGCCATGTGAATTCATAGATTTTTTTTTCACATTCTGTCTCTCACAGTTGAAGTGTACCTATGTTGTAAATTACTGACCTCTGTCATCATTTTAAGTGGGAGAACTTGCACAATCGGTGGCTGACTAAATACTTTTTTTGCCCCACTGTGTATCGGCATCAGTATCGGTATCAGTCAATGTTAGTCATTGTTAACATATCGGTATCGGTTCGATAAATAAAACCGGGCCAATATTAACAACCAATATCTTTTTTCTCCATTTGACTCCATTTGTTCATCTGTTTCAGAGGATGAGGGGAGTGATGTGTAATTGTTTAGTCATGTGAATAGTGAATGAAATAATCTCTAAATGCGTGTGGCGTGTGTACATAATAACGCAAATTCAGCTTTAATGATTTTCATTCTATACAAAATCTGGTGATTTTAGAAGTATTAATATCAGTATATTGGTATCGGCAAATATCGGTTATCGACCATAACGGTGATCTCAATATCGGATATCAGTATCTGCCCAAAAATTTCATATCGGTGCATCACTATTTCAGACTTGTATAACCTCTAGAGTTGAGAACTGACAGTCAAGGTAACTTTGTGTGCATTTCTGAAGGTCTGAGTGGTACACATTTGTGGTTCCAAGTACCTAAAGATGTACGTTTTCTTGGTATTGTTGCTGGTTTTAGGATTGAAAAGCTAATTATTCAAATCCATGTCAGGACTAACTTAGGACTTGGTGATTGATGAACATATAAATAATGGTTTGCTGACTTATTTATCAAGTTGATGCAGGTTGTTGGAGAACCAGTATATTCTGGTAGGAAACGGGTGAATTAAACAATGAGTGTCTATGTAAGACATTCTGCTAGAACCTGTTTTATTGTACCAGTGAAATTACAGAGCTGCCACCAAAGTTACCAGATCAAAGGTACCAACAAATGTACGTACAGCTGTGTACGGCAGCCTCGCCTCAGTTTACATGCAGCCAGTAACCCTTTTAAAACCCGAATATTCACAATAACCCGGTTCCACACGGCCATGTAAACACAGCCAAAAACCCGGATATGCTCATAACCGGGTTTTTAAAACCCCGGTTACTACACCTGGGGTAACCCTTTTCTAACACGAATGTTTGGTTGTGTAAACGCATATCGGGATATCCCCATCAAAGCGTGTGTTCTGCGCATGCTCTGTTCGCAAGGAATCTTGGTCTTTTGAGAAGCGAGACGTCTTGTATGCGCCAGAACACCGGAAGTAAACTACAAGTTGGGAGCAACATGGCGAATCGCGGCACAGCACCACACTTTTGGAGTGACGAGGAGACCTCTGTCTTCATCGGTCTGGTGAAAAGTACGAACATTGTGTCTTTTGTTGACAGCCGAAAGTACAGAGACAGCGAAATGTACAAGAAGGTAACCGAAAAGTTACGCGAAGCAGGGTTTGTAAGGACACCAGACCAAGTCAAGTAGCGCTGGAAGACGCTGAAAAAAGCCTACTACAAGGTGAAGAAACAAAACAATACCAGCGGGTCCAACCCATCTTCTTTTCCTCAGTTTGATTTAATGGACGAGATTTTGGGCAATAGACCCATCAGTACAGCTGAAAAAAGTGGGGTAGATATCGGATTTGAGGACGTACAGGAGCAGTTAACCGACCAGCAAGGTAGGTTTGCTCGCCTTCTCCAAGCACAATAGCTACGTAACTTAGTCCAATTGTTATAATAAATAGGAATGTAACTAATTTGTACTCACAAATGCTGCCTAACATGCACTGTCCCAGATTAATAAGTATAGTAAACGTCACATAAATGTAAAGTCTGTCTGTTGCTGTTTTGCGGTTTCACGATGTGTAAAAAGACATCTGTTTTTTGTTATTATTATTTCATATGAATTGTATTTATGCTATTTTACAGACAGTGATGGAACGCTTGACCTGACAGACGCAGCCACAACTACAGCAAGCGATGTAACAAGTGGAAGTGGCTCGCATCTTGAAGGAGAGGATGATGATGTTATGGATAAAAACACAGGTAAGTCACATGACTCACATATTCTCAATCCAATACGTACGCCAACAAAGGGTTTCGCTCTCAGAGTTAGATACATGAGTCGACCCATCTGTGTTGTTTAACCTACCATTAACATCTTTTTTAACATCAAGCTTTAACATTTTGCTTGGTTTTATTTCTGGCCAGATGCAGATATTGGAGAAGGTGGACCTTCAACGACTGTGCCTTGCCAGTCTACACAGCAATCAAATCCCACTGCAGCTACTCCTGGTGAGCTTTCTAAATACTGTTACTAAAGGCATAACTGGTTAGAGCTTATTTTTGTAACCCCAGGTCACTCCTCTGCCTTGTGTAATGTCTGAAAATAGTAACTTTCTTTAGTGGATACTTTGATTACAGTGATTAAGAGATATTATGTAATATAACCGTTGATCCAAGCTAAGGACTACTGTCACTTTTTGCATTCTTAGTAAAATTGTAGGAAGATGTTTGTTAATGACGAAGGCGCAGGTGACATTCTGACACATGCCAGCTAAAGGTAAACAAACATCTTCTAGAATCCACAAGTTTATTAAGAATGCAAAAAGTGATAATAGTCGAACACTAAGATAGAACTTACCAAACACTTTCTAAGGCCTGTCATGTCTGCTCTAGGTGGGTTAAGTCACAGGTCCAGGCACCGTGGAGCCACTTCACTAACTCAACATCAACAGTTCATGGAGAGAATGCAGCACACGCAGAACCAATGGATTGAGCAGCAAAGGCAGTTGAGCCATGCCAGTGATGAAGCACTCATGTCTCAAATGATTGCTGAATCAACCCGTTCAATGGGTACTGTTGTTACCCAACTCCTTACAGGGTTAAGTGTATTATTCCAGCGGCCAAGCTTTTCACCACCAGCGTGATAGGGTGAATGTCTTTTGTGTTGTAAAGCACCTTGAAGGTTTATAGGACTCTGAAGGTGCTTTATAACACAGGCTATTTAACATGGGTTAAGTCTGGCATACACTGTGCGACTTTTTCACTTTTTTGAGCCGATTTTCCACTCGTGCGAGAATCTACGAGATCGGGTCGAGGTTTGCGCCGAGCGTCGTGTAGTGTACAGGGGGTTACGAGAAGCGACCACGTGACCAGCTACCGATCAGCAATCGTGAGCTCGCACGGACTTCTGGCGTGTTTAATATTTTGCTCGTCCCTCGTGAGGGTATCGCTCTGTTGAAGCGGCGCTGCGAGCAGCTGCGACCCAAAATGTATCAGAACCGCTCACGGCGCATGCGCAATCCTGCATCAACACCGCTCGCCCGCTATTTCCCTAATAACACACGTTGTTCGTTTTTATTCCTACACGTTTTTTTACTCACAAAGATTGTCAAGAAAGCGTGTTTGTCGTGTTCATGTCAAATTAAACTGATCACAAAACACAAATTTACTTTCTTTATTTCGTTTTCCTCATCCAACCCCCATAAATCCCTGTGTGTCCACCTGCAGCACTCCCGAAGGACAACAGGCAAAACAAAACAAAAAAGTCTGACGTGTTGTGGAAAACTGCTATTTTTAGCATATTTTTAGGGCCGACGTGTTGCTACCAGACGTACAGTGTGAGCAGTCAGATCGCATCCGAGAACTGGGTCGTACAGTGTGAGCACATGACTCGTGAGATCTGCCCTGCGAGGAAGTCGTACAGTTTGAGCTGAAGCTGAGTGCTACGAGTGAAAAAGTCGCACAGTGTACGCCCAGCTTAACTGGTAGCAGAGGAATCTTTTGCTGCTTCCACATTTGGCCCGTTCCTGTCTGGTTTGGAGAGCACAATTCCAGATCCCATACTGGTAGAGTTTGTCCACACACACTTCTCAGGAACATGTAATCTCTGAGCATGTGGGCGGGGCAAAAGATGCACAGAGAAGTCCTCAGTTTCTCCCTTAAATGAAACAAAGGCGGGTGCAAACAGTTGCTTTCGGAGACTCTGACTCTGATATCGCGTCCTTCTCTGCCTTGTCTGTTCTGGCCCAGCTCAAACCTGCAACGGTGTGTGTGTGTGTGTGTGTGGGTGTGGGTGTGCGTGTGCGTGTGCGTGTGTGTGTGTGTGTGTGTGTGTGTGTGTGTGTGTGTGTGTGTGTGTGTGTGTGTGTGTGTGCGTGCGTGCGTGTGGGTGTGCGTGTGTGTGTGTGTGTGTGTGTGTGTGTGCTCAGAGAGAGACAGAGAAAAAGAGATGGCTTCAGTCAGAGGCGTTGTGTACTCCATAGTATCCAGCATGAAAATTGATCAGACACGCAGGAAACCCCTGCTGGCTGATTCTGTCTGCCAATCGGAGGCCCCCCTAGTGGAATTTGAGCTGGCCAATCAGTTGGCAGTGAGTGTGTTGGACCAGGTCAGCCAGACCAGGTGTGCATTAAAAAATTCCAGTTTGACAAATTTGACAAGATCATCTGTTGGGTATTTTATATGCGCCATGGTCCTTTACCTGAAATAACACACCTTACACAAAGAGAAACAGAGGAGAGAGAGTGAAGGCCCAAACCCCCTCCAGAGCTTTCCATTGTCTCTCTCTCCCATATTACCTCTCCTCTGTTACCTCAAAGAAAGTCAGAGCACACACAGAGGGATCAGATTCATAATTTGGTAAATTGTAAACAACCCTTAAACATACAACATCGAAATACTCTGCAAAGTGAAAATACTTTGCAGAGGGTGAGAGAATCAAACACACCAGACACAACGGCAGTTTGCTCACACACCAGGCAAAGCCTTAGAGCTCCTTTTATTTAGGAAGACACACCCAGAAGTTTACACAATTTCTTCAGCTGACCGGTAACTTAATCAACATTCTTTAGAATCAGCTGACCGGGGTAACTTAATCAACACATATTGTTTGGACCTTCATCTTGTCTCAGGAAGTTGGGTGATCACAGAGGCCATTCTTCACCACTCTAAAATGTGATCAAAGATCGATGACCTTTCGTTTAAACAAATACTTATCATGTCCTGCAACGTTCTTTAGGCCTCAAAAAGGTACATTAAATGAGAAAATACCTATCATCATCATTAAAACATGCCAAATATATCTAGCAGCAGACATGGAGCAGATTGAACAAAGTCTCACAGTAGAAATCCAACGATATGATTGTTTAGGCAATCGTTATTGAAAGAGTACAAAGACGTCCAGCAGACTATTTATTTGTGGAAGGGGATTGCAGGAAACATGGGTTTGGACAAATTTGTCACTGCACACCTGAGCTGGTGGAGATGTATAAACTAGACTTTAGGTTTGAAGTTGACCTTTTCTCACCACATGCAGCACAAAGATAAAATCTTACTCCATTACAGTATCTTAAGTATTTCAGCTAAACAAGCAAACGTTTATCAGAGCACTTTGATGTTTAACCTGGCTGACTGTCTTAAATCCATGGAACATCTCTGAATTCAAAGTTTTTGTGTAGCAGCACACAACTTTCTTCTTTCTTTCTTTCCTCTTTCTGACCATTCCTCTTCAGTCCTCACTTCGTTGTTCCAAAAATTCTTTAGGATTGCCCCTGAAGTTGTATAAATGCATACGCAGACAGACACGTTTCTCCAGAGCAAGAGTGGCCACAGCCCTCCTTTTTCAAACTCGACTTTGTTTTTTAGCCAATAGACTTCTATACTTTCATGACTCATGATAAAACTAGAGGAACAAGCTTTTGTTCTTAAATATGATTATAAGTTAACGTTAAAGTCGTTATGGGACATTACAATCTAGCAGCTTCTTCCTGTCCTGTCAGCTTCACGTCTTTTTTCTGTCAAGTCAAAGGAGTTGATTTTAGAGCTTTGCTGAGTCTGCTATATCAGCAGAGATTCTTTCTCTCATTACGATGTTTTGTTGATGGTTTATTCACCATTCAGATGCCTGAATGAACTCATGAAAGTGTTGGAAATACTGCCTCTTTGCTTTCTGTGCTTCTGTTCCTTATACTTCAACAATCTTCCCTCTCCTCTCCTCACCACCTTAGCCTGCCTGCCTGGCTTTAAAGTCCCCTTTGAAAGTCGTTCTCACCATTAACCAACTGTCAGTGTAAAGTGGATTAGATTGTGATGGTTTTTTGTGACCGTGGAGGCTGTACTGCAGAAGTGTCAAAACTTTTTTTTTCAGTCCAACTCAGAGGAATTTCAGCTTCTTTCCTGTCATTTTGTTACACTTTCAAATGAAGCATTTCCTGGACACTGTCAGGATTCGAATTCATCTACAAAATGTGTGTACTTGGTAAAGCTCACAAGGAAAACACCATGACTGCAGCTTATAAAAGCAATTGCGGGTTTCTATGATAGATTTATGAAAAAAGGGAACAGGAAGGGGAGCAGTTCAATTATTTTTGATTCAGTGATTGTCCTTTATTTATCTAAAAGGGGTTTGTTGAAAGCCAAAAAGCAGTGAAGTGTTTATTTTTATCAAATGTGTTTTTTGTGGCATGTGAGCTTTTTCCCTGCACTTCGTATTTGCAGCAAAGGCAGATTTTAATCTTTAACTTCTATCTAGGCAATTCATTTCCATTCACTTACATCTAAATAAGTGCCCTCGCTTTGTTTCATTTATACTTATTGTGGAGGCTTGTGCATTTGGTATTGCATCTTTTTTTTTTAATGTGCATTGAGAAATTGGAAAAAGGCAAACACACCTACAGACTAAAACGTCTGTATGACAGCACACGCATGCTGCCCCGGGAACCGTCGGTGTTCGTAATCAGACTAAGAGTGGCCAGGCGGGCGGCCAAATGAATAAAATGGCTACAGAATCACTGGCTCTGTTTGATTTGCCTCCACTAATTCAAAGACACCGTTTGATAAATTGAGAGGATGGGGTGTACATCGGAATAGAAAGAGACATCTCTTTGTTGTTTCCCATTCACAGGCAAATCACACACCCCAACCCCCCGCCAGAACACCCAGAGGGGAGAATGTGTGTGTGTGGTTGCTAAGAAGTGTGATTTTCAGGAGGTCCTGTTGAAAGCAAATGAAGGAGTACTTGTGTCAACATTCTGACGGAGGTGATGATCCACAAAAGCCCCTTGGCCAAGCAACGAAAGGCCCCAACACCAGCTTGCAGAAAAGCAGGAGTGCACTCTTTAGCTGTTTTTGTAAGGCCACAGCGTTTTCAAAACGGGATTTGCCGCGACACCCTGGGCAGGACTTTGGCATTTATAGCAGCAAAGCTGAAGCTAGAATATACTGCCATCAGACACCTCTCCAACCAAGACGGGATATAGGGAGGTCGCTGGACGTCCCCCCCCCCCCGCATGTGACGTACAGGGTTGCGCATTCAGCGTCAGACGGAAGACACGTCAGACTGATGAAATTTCTTTTTCAGGACCTTTAGCTTTGATGTGACCTGTTTTTTGTCCTGCTTGACACAGCCAGTGTTTTCACTACTCTGTCGAACTGCTGGCTGTCTCTCACCGTCCCCGTAAAAAGGCGACTAATCTGTTCGTCCGCTTGCACGGCCAAAAGCTCCATGGTCTCCGCGTCCGTCCAGCTGGCTTTCCGTCTGGCCGGCACCCGGTGCGCAGTACACGTGACTAATGCGACCACCCTATTTTGCGGGTGGGCCTCCCACAGTCGTTCCAAAGGGTTTAGCGGGGCAGACATGCGTTTAGCCGTCAGAGGCGAGGGGCTGATGCAGCAATATTACTACCAAGCGAGGCGGAATGAATGCCGCAATATTCCCGCAACGCCATTCCGGCATGGCACGTTTATAGACATACCATCGCGGTAATATTACGCCAATATGCCGGCATGGTGTGTCCTATGAAAGCACCTGAGTGGCCCAAACTCCTTTTTGTACTATTTGTGTTCATAAATGTGCAGTGCTCTGGTTAAGAGAAAGGTCTTCATGTTGTGACTTCATACTCAACAAATTTGTTTTGACTGTAAAGACATTTCAGTTTGTGGAATGCTTTTGTTGTTGGTGAATAGGAACAAGTTTCTGTGTTTTTCAAAGTAGAAGGTATGATTTTGGTAAGTCGCAAACACGATTTTGGTAAGTAGCAAACGTGATTTCGGGAAGTAGCAAACGTGATTTTGGTAAGTAGCAAATGTGATTTCAGCCAGTAGCAAACGTGATTTCAGCCAGTAGCAAATGTGATTTCGGTAAGTAGCAAATGTGATTTCAGTAAGTAGCAAACATGATTTTGGTAAGTAGCAAACGTGATTTCAGTAAGTAGCAAACATGATTTTGGTAAGTAGCAAACGTGATTTTGGTAACTAGCAAAAGTGATTTCAGTAAGTAGAAAACGTGATTTCAGTAAGTAGCGAACATGGTTTCGGTAAGTAGCAAACGTGATTTCGGTAAGTAGCAAACGTGAATTCTGTAAGTAGCAAACGTGCCACACCCACAGCCATTTTAACATTATATTACATTATCAGTGGTAAATAACAGTGGTTGATTGAACAGTAGGGCCGGGGCGATAATCAATAAGTCAATTAATTGTTCGATAGATGAAAATTAACTCAATAATTTTTCCAGCCTCGACACGTGACCTGCATGTCAACCACACCCCTTAGCGCCATTTTAGGTGTATGACTCACGTTGCTAGGGGAAGCCACAGCTGAAGTTGAAGCATGAACAAGAGTCAAAAGGATGAAGAAAAAGAACAAGGATGAACACATCCCTTACAGGAATAAAATTGTGAAAGAAGCTAGAGATTGGTATTTTCAGAAATTGTCTACAATCAATAACACAAATCCCTACAACCTCAAAGGAAACAAATGGAGCTCAGCTGTTTCATTACTGCAAAAAATATAGCACTTGAGCAAGTTAAGTAAAGGTTTAATTGTTGCATTTTAAAGGGTGTACTTGCATTTATTAACATTACATAAGTGGTTGCTTTGGTGTAGGTAATGTCGACAATGTTGTTTATCGTCAACCATTTGTTGGACAATAAATCGTCCAGCAAAATGTGTTATCGTCCCAGGCCTATCGAACAGTAATAATTTTATGTTGCATCAATCCAACCAAAAATTACCAGGAGACGGGGCAGAACCATCTATTGTTTTGGGACCAAAATTACGATTTCAAACAAGCAATCATATGATTGTCAAAGTTGCATTTTGTATAGTCCTCCTGACAGACCCAGGATCCGTTGTGTCAACTATTTTAAACATCTGGGGTTTCCCCCTGGTTTTACAAGTGTTACGGCGGCAATAGCGAGCGTGGTGTATGGGGTTACCGGAGCTGAGCACAATTCTAAGCTGAGCACATTTAATAATTTCCCTATTTTTTTTTCTTTTCGTGGTGCTGCCACAGCTGATATTAATAATCACTGTGGCTGTGAATCTCTGCTGCTAATGTTCTGTCCACCTCTCAGCACCGTGGGTGAGTGACAGACAGAGAGAATGATTCCCCAACAGCGGAACAGGATTTACTCCTTTAAAAAAGATAATAATTGAAGAAAAATAACGATTAGCTTTTATATAAATTTATATTGAACCTTGATTTGAAGAAAATCATGAATTGACCTGAAATCGCTATTTCTCCTATAAAAATCGCAATCCAATCTTTTCCTTATGTCGTTGAACTCTACCAGAAGAGATTAGATGTTTGAGATGGAAGAAGAAGAAGAAGAAGAAGAAGAAGAAGAAGAAGACGATCTTTGGCATCTTCCAAGATAAAAATCACGAGGCGGTAGGAGTAATATTACCAGAATTTAATCAGAAATGAAAGGCTAGTTGATGGACTGCAGAGCCAGAGTTTCACACTACACAGGTGTTTTAAACTGATCTTCATGTCTGCCAAGTTCCTAAACTTTGGGTGGTCCAAAGTCCTTCTGTGGCTTACAGCAGAATTTGAGTTTTAAAAAATCAGTAAAAGACTGGAATATATTAACATTTATTACCTTAGCTGAGTAGACCTGAAGAACAGGGCTGAGAACTTCAGTGCCACAGAACAATCCGCAGTCTGCAACCAGCAGGAAAATACAAATCACTAACAGTAGCTACAGCTGTAGCTACAAACAGGTAAACAAAACTGTTTCTGTGTTTAAAAAAGAACGTAAGCATGGAGTAGCTACAGCTATTTATAATTTACAGTCGGTTTACTTGAGTTTGCACAACAAGTTACCTTTAATTTCTATTATTTTAATGTCAAATACAGTGCTCAGCATAAATGAGCACACCCGCAGTATGAAATTAATCATTAGCTCAATGAACAAAAGAACAATTTCCAGAATATTCACTGTTCATTTTATCTTGTTTAAAATAATATTTAGAATTCTTTTACGAATAGGGATGCAAATTATCGAGTAATTCATTGATCAATAGTTGTTTCATTTTATCGATTGATGATCGACTAATTGATAAGCGGCAATTTTTCTGAAAAGCTGAATTTCCCTCTGAATAGGTTCCATCTACTGTATACGTAGGATAAAATGCTATCTTCTATGTCATATGAAGCAAAAATGCAAATCATTTTCCTTAATCAAAGATTAATGATTGTGGTTGTTCTAGATGGGATATTGTACCCCGGCTCAATGTACTTAATCACTTCTTGAAATCCCTGTCTGTTAACAACATTTATTAGCAGCATGTCTGCATTAACCATGTTACATATTCGCTGGGTAATGCCCTCTGCTTTCGTGGAGTCACATACCCTTCTTCCCAACGCTGTGGTGATTGTAAGCTGAGAACCACGGCTGAATGTGGCATATTTAGGTGGTAATTCAGTGAAGTTGTGGAATTCTTGTACTTCAAAATACTTCCACATATTGTGTATTTGGCGTTGTGGTTGTCATTGACCAACTTGAAGTGGCTCCATACTGCACTCCGTTTTGCACTCATCATCCTCAGTGTACAGACCGTTTCTCCTTTGCCTGTTGTTGTCATCAGAGCCTGTCATGTTCTGTGCCCCTTGGTCCCCAGCCCCCTCCTGTTCGCCCTCTGCATTTCCCTCATGTGTCCCCTTGTGCTCTGTGTGTCCCTATGCTTCCCCAGCCCTCTCCAAGTTCTCCTCATGTGTCTCCTTGTGTTCTCCAGTTCCCTCTAGGCTTCCCTCATGTTTCCTCCTAGTCACTCCTGTGTAGTTCTTATTGGTTTGTATTGGTCCTCCTCACCCCTCTTGTCATTAGTTGTTTATCTTTGCCCTTAGTCTTACTTATTTAGTGTTTTATAGTTTATGGTTTATTTTCCTCTCTGCTTAAGTTCTTTCCCCATTTAGTTTATTAATGGCACCTGTCTTCCCTCTAGACTTCACTCCTCACACCTGTCACCTGTTCCCGATTGCTTCCCTCTGTGTTAAAAACCCTGCCTTGTCCCTCAGTGTTGTTGGTCCGTTGTTTGTGTCAGCGTTGTTCTGTTCCCTATCGAGTTTCTCCGAGTCTGTGCTCGTGAGTGAGCTTTTGTTTGTTTTTTGAGCGTTCAGTGTGTTTTTGAGATTTAGTCTGTTTTTTGTGCTTTGGACTTTTGGCGCATCCTCCTTTAAATAGAGGAATTATTTTCTTTAACCACTCCTGCCTTGAGTCGTTCTGGGAATTCTGCATCTTGGGTCCAAACCTCCTGCTCCTCAGTGTGACAGAGCCCAGCTGCGGCTGTGTTCCCGCATGTGCGTCAACTACGTCTGGCGTCAAGCGTGCCCCACAAGGACTGGCGGGGAATTACGGGATCAAAACACAATTAATTGCAATTAAATAATTTTACTCGAGTAACTTCTTATCAACAATTAATTGATAATCGATTAATTGCTTGCATCCCTATTTAAGACCCTTCTTTTTTTAACAATTCATACTTCCTCTGAGTGTTTCTAATGCCCCGTCTTAGAAAACACATCAGCAGCATTATGTAAATAAAACAAAACAAAAAAAAACCATTACATTATTTTCAATATGTCCCCATAAGCTCTGTGAAGCTGGGGGTCGACTCGCTAGAATAAGTAAAGAACACCTCAAGACTAATTAATTAGAAAATTAAGTTTTGTTAGCTGGTGTTTACATGTGTTTTGAACTGAAGTCTAAACATTACAAACTAAACATTTATTTTATTTCTTATGCCTAATAAGCCTTCGTTGCTTTTAATGGTCATCTTAATTAAAATTTTTAATAAGGGTGCAACTAAGCAGCACAACTCTGCCACCAGTGCCAGCAGTCCTCTTGAAGGGGAACTAGGCAGTTTTGGCTAACTTTTTGCACCCCCTAGTGTCCGTTTGTAGAATCGAAAGCAAAACTCATCTCCTTGCTGTGCGTTTTTACCACCATAACCTAACAGCCAAACTGTCTCCCTAGCCTTCCTTAGTGAGTGATTAATCACTACATTAAACACATCAGCTGTTCATGATCTAAAACATGTAGGAAACGTGCTGGAAGCAAACTGCTGCAGTGCCAGGTACTGTAAATATTGCAATTGTGGAAGATGGTTGCATGGCATGATATAAAACATTTGCAAGGCTGTTCTGTAGTTTTTTATGAATTAGCAACTACATTTTTCAGTTCCTGGAATGGGTTCAGAAACATTTTTGTAATTGGAAGGACAAAATTACGTCAAAATAGTGTTTTTAAAAAACGAAGATAAGATTAAACGTGCCATTTTGTTATTCTTAAAGACTAAAGGAGACATATCTTAAAGGGTTCTTTGATCATTTTCTGTTCCCACAATTTGGATAAATGAAGAGAGATTTTACTTTATCCTCCCATCACTATTTACTCTTTGTTGTTTGCAACTTATCAGAGCCTCATCTGCACTGGGCTGCATGCATCAGAAATGCACTTAAATGCTAGAGTGTGTATTTCTCCACAGCTCGTTTGAGGTTTAGTTCTAATGCCCTAAGCAGCAGTTGGTCCAGATGTTTGGCATGTCGTGGTACATATCACTTTGGAGAGTTTCCCACATGCTATTTGGTGTGGGTGAGTCTGCACTGGCCTAAAACATCAAAACAACCTAGCTCTAAAAATAGTGTTAATCATTCCACACTCCAATGTTGCATGTAGTCTGATCACCAAACCCAACTACAACAGTCTTACTTCCGTTTTGTGATGATTTCACAACCCAATACATACCTCTCTTGTTTCAGGGTCAGAATGTCCTAATGGTGAGATTTAGGGCTAACTCTTAAACAGGCCATCCTGTTTCAGATGAAACTGACAGTTTCTGTGCAGTAATGTTTTATTTCATCTATACATGCTGTGTTAAAAAAGATAAACAAAAAATATGAAACCATGAAAAAAAAATCATAATTATTATTTACACATTCACAGTACAACTTTACAACATATCTACAAGCTCAAATACTCTGGAGATCAAATATACAGCTGGCTGCATGTTGCCTTGTTGCACAGTATTTAAATCAAAGTTGCATGACAAAAAAATTAGTTCATCTGGACGTACACCAAGCTGACTGAAATACAAAGGCTTCAGTTTAGATAACAAAAGGAAAAACATAGGTCATGTTGCAATGTACAAGGCAGCTGAGCAGTGTATGTTGAATTTGAGATGTCAGTGTGCAAGTAGAAAAAAGGAGAGCCCAAACACTGTTAGATGACAGGCAGAAATCTTTACATACAATCATTTGTAAACAAAATGTGGTTTTGGGCTGAACAGGCAACTGACATGAAAATAAAACTGCAGAACTCACCCTAATCATATACCCAACCGCTACGAGAAATGATCCCCTTATCGTCCCTCCTAGCCAATAGAAACAATTCCTGTCATTGCAATCATGGAGAATTACTGATTCTGTACCAGTGCTGGTCATGCCAAGAGACAGCTTTTATGTGAACACTTGAACACTGTGTTAATACATTGGCTGAATGTACTATGTTAAGCTGTCCGCTTCACAGTGATCTGACCACCCTACATCCCACAGTTATGAAATTACAATCACTGCATGGCACCACTATGTTGTGAAATATCAAAACTCTTTTTAAAACTGGCAGCAAATGAGACAAAAAATTATTCATATCCAATTAAGTGTTTTTACTGGCCCGGTGTAAGACTGGAACTCCAAAGTGGATTTTTAGGTAGTGATTTTCCAACACACATCCTACTCAGTTTCTAATTTCTTGTATAAAAACGTTTATCGAACATGTGAAACATACAAAGAACCAATCGACATATTGGATATTATATACTGTACTAATTGTTTTGTGAATAAGGCACACAATGCACAGATTCAGATTCACTTGCCTAAAAATATCCATAATACTTATTTATAGTATTTAAGTATGTACAAGATGTTGTCATTGCCAGCATGACTATTTGGACACATTAGTAAATGTTGCGTTGATTGTACTCTGGCCATTCGCAGGGATGCTGCACAGCTAAAACAGGCTGCAGAGCAGTTTAAAAAGATGTTCTATGTATTATTGTTTTAGGGTCAGTTTAGTATCTTCTATAGAATTATTTATTGTAGGGGGCAAACTAGTGTTCTTCAATTAAGGGACACAAGTTAAATGGAAGTGCACAGAAATGTTCTTACGTAAATGAGCTTAACCGTTAGTGTTGCATTAGTTTCACATAGGGGAATTTTCATTCAAGATACCAAGATATTATTTTGAAAGTCTTGTTTGAAATTATATGACAAGTGTCCTTTTTAACATGTCTACATAAAAACAAAAAACTCTTGAATGAATGGCATAATACTTATAAATGTACAACGGAGGATAAGGGATGTTTCAGTCTTGGAGAGAAACATTTTTGCCAATGTTAAAATATTAACAGTGTTTGGTTGCTTAAATCTATAACTCTTTGCCTCTGTTTAAAATATAACACACATACACACACAAACAGATGTCCACACCCATATCAGGGGTTGTCCAAGCAAGGCTGAATGTAACAATGCATTAAAGACAAATAAACATCCATGTCTAAAACCAGTAGCAGCAAATGTCAAGTCAAATTTCCCAGTAAGTTCCAAAGGTCTTGCTTCAGCATTCACCCAGCATACTCAACTAAACCATGGCCCAACCTACTTCCTAACAGCTTGACATAAAACTAAGTTCAGGCCTTGTTCAGAGACAATATGGTTGAAATGATGGACAGTGACTTAGGTCTTTAACATATGTTAAGGTGCTTCCTCTGACATGTGGCGCCGCTCTCAAAGGCGGAACATGTGTGCAGCCTCCACACAGATTTGCTTCCCTGTCAACCAATACACCCACAAACACAATCATTTGCCCTCCCTTTTCATCTTGCTGCTCCACTCAGTTGTTCGTGGTCATTTGTATCTAAAGCAGCGAACGCACAATGATTATTCATGTTCCTTCCCACTACCATCGTACAACCAGTTATGGTCTACTTCTCCTCGGTTCAGTTCACATTAGTGGGAAGACAGTGCTCAAGGGTAGAAACAACTGAGAACCATTCTTCAAGTATTCCACCCTTTTTGCCCAGGTACCACATACACATGTGACATGTGCTGGTTCCCCTAACCTCATTCCTTACATTGGAACAAAACACCCTCAGTCCCAGATACAGTGGAGAGACGCAAAGTCACCATTATCCACTGTCCAGGGAAGGATATGGGGTAGAACGAGTCCCAATGAGTATCTTTGGCCAAATGTGTGGTATTCCCTTTTTATAGTGAGTGTATGTGTACAGCAACACTTCAAGCTGATACACGAACACACACTAGGCCTTATCATATCCATACACCCCAAGCCCTTTCGAGTGCAAAGCTCTACACGCCAAGAGCTCACCTATAAGTGTCCATGGTGTTTTAGTAACTGTACTTGTTGACTACTCGCATTTGAGGAGTTTGTTGAGAAAACCCATTGGGTTTAGGGGGCACATCTGGCTTTATGGATGGAGTCCTTTTGAGCCCCGTCCGAGGGAGTGAGCCATGTCCACTGTAGCTGCTCTGTCTGGACATAGAAGATGAGTGTGGTGAGTGCATTCCTGATGACATCAATGCACCATGAGAGTCTAGTCTGGAGGGGGGTGTTGGGGGCATGTAGCCTCTGTTCATACTGTGTTGGCGAGACACAGACACCCCCATGGTTACACTATTTGGTGAAGTTGATAAGGAGTGCCGGTGAGAGGCACTCCGGTGGAGTTGGTACCCCCCTCTTTGCCTCTCCAGGGTACCCCCCATGCTTAAGCTTCCCGTTGGAGTTGTGGGAGTGCTGGGCATGGGCACATCAACCCTCTTGGTGGGGCTGTGCCTTGGTAAAGAGGATGAGGGAGAGTACAAGGAGGCTTCACGGCTGGGCACCTGAGGGGGTAGTTCAGTCAGTTCCTCCATCGGTTCCAGTGTGAGCTGCGGTCTTGGGCGGGGCCCTGAACCGTCTTGAAGAATGGCCTTGGGATTGGCCACAGAGTCATTGAGATGTTTTAAAAGGTCATTTAAGGTATTCCTAGCATCCACAGACCTCTTTTGATCCTTTTTACTTCCTTTAGATTCAGGGTTTTTTAGCTTCTTTTCAGATGAGTGCGGTAAAGTCTCATCTCCACTATCCAGGTTAGGGTGATCATGAGTGGCGTTGGGCAACACAACTGCACTAGGAATATTAGAATGTCCCAGAGCAGGATGAGGGTGGTGGGAATTTGCATTAAGAGTTGCAGGGGAAGAGGAAATGAACTGTGGACTCTTGGCTGAAGAGTTGGATTCCTTACGGGACCCGTTGACCTTCCCATGAGCTTTCTCCCATTGATTCTTGATGGGCTGGAGGCCTTTCTGCTGAAGAACTGGAGTGGATTCAGGTGTGGGCAGAGCAGCCAGCTCTGGGGGCTGGCAGCTGTCTCGCATGATCATTGTCTTGATGTCACCATTAGGTGTATTCAAATCTTTGCCATTTGTCAGCAGATTAGTGTACAGCTTGGGTGAATCAATGTTGGTTTGGTACTCCTAAGAACATGGGAACAAAATCAAAACAATGAGATTAAAAACAGTTTTACAAATTCTCTGGCACTTCTCATCACATATCAAGGGGGATTGTAGATGTTTTTCTACCTTTACAGGACTGTCGAAAAGGCCGTTCAGCTTAATAAAACTCCCCGTAGAGTCAGAGCAGGATGGTGCAGACTCTGTATCCTTGTGGACATGTCTTGGTTTGTGAAGGAAAGAGTCTCTATAGCAGAACACAATCAGACCAGCCAGTAGAGCACCCATGAGAAAAGCAGCAAAGACGCAGGTAATCAGGATGTTCATGTGGACCATCTGGTTGCTGTCACTTGTACGATTTTCCCAAACACCTACAAAATAGTAAGGCATTGATTAACCCCCTGGTGAAAAGATTTAAACAGCTAAATGATGCATAACTTTCCATTCCCCACAGCAGAAATGTGCATGTTTCTGTATGAAAACAACACGCCATTTTTTTGCTTTTACACCTCCAAGCACACACAAGCTAGTGAACCCCAACCAAGCTCCATAAACTGGTCATCTGAGCACAGATGAAGGATGAATGTGGAAAAAGTTGGCAGTCACTGTTATCCACCCACAATCATTTCAAAATCTATAGGAAACAGTTGTGTTAGTTTTGCAAAGTTTGAGGAACTACAAGTGTTGACTCAACCCGCATTCCACAAGAAGCTGTTTCATGCGTCCAGCACCAAAGGGTATCAAGGATACTCTGATCTGAGATAGTGAGCCAAATCAATGAAAAGCGATCAACCAGCTGATAAGTAGCAAAAAGACAAGAGAAGCAGTGTTTGCGTTGTACATTTCAAGATGTTTGCTGATCTATACCAGGTTTGTTAGTAACCACAGACATTGAAAGTTAGTCACCCACTGTGTGGCTAGAGCAGGGGTGCGGCCCAGTAGGCCCAGTCAATGATCTACCAGCCAGAGTAAACTGTCACTAGTGCTAAATAACCAATCTATAGTAGTACAGAAGACAAAAACAAGATTAAAGGGTTGATTTGGTTGTTTTTGAAGTGGGTTCTGTTGAGTACTTATCAGTCATCAGTGTCTTATCTGCAATAAACTTAAATAACAATAAATTTAAGGGATCAAAAGAGAATTTCACACTAACAGTTTTTTAGACTGGGGCCAATTCTAGATTTCACCCATTTGAAACATTTCATAGCCTTTCAAGCTGTGCTACGGGTTTAACTGTGCATTACTTTTGCACCAGGTAATTATGTAGCTTCAGCGCTCCTAACATATTCTGTTTTGCAACATGTGACTGCAGCTCTGTGTTCCAACATAACCAAGTTAAGAGTCAAAGGTGTCTATAGAAATAACCATCTGATGCAAATAAAATGTAATGTCATTTTACAACAAAGAGCAGTCCGTTATATAATATTAGTCATGTTAAATGGCAGAAATCCTTCCATAAATAGGCCCAACACTTAAAATGTTTGCAGATTCCCTCTTATTGGTGTGTACTTTAACACAGACTGCAACAAAAAAGCTACTCAACAGAAACCCATGTAAAACAACCCAAACAATCATTTGAAACATTGTCATTGGACAACCAGAAGTAATAGACAGTTCAAAAGAAAGAAAGTAGAGGAAGAACAATACAAATCTCTAAATTAAAGTTGACACAAATGTGAAATGAACGTAGGAAGCTATGTACTACTCTATTTGCACTGATAGTATGCTCGTAAAAAAGTTTTGCGTTTCAGTGCAAGTTGCTAGCAGCTATCAGATCAGGCTCAGACCGGTGGGTCTTACCCTCTTGCCCCCCTGGGATAGAGTTTAAAGTATGGGAGGTGGCTGGGTCATCCTGCAGTGGAAACCCTGAGCCGTAGAGCTCTGGACCAGGCTCAGAGCTAGAGCTCTTACTGGGTATGGGAACTGGGGGGAGTATGGGCTCACTTGGCTGGACAGTGACTGGTGCTGTTGAAAACTCCATGTCTGTGGTGACAAACAAACTGTTAACAAATTGTGTAGGTGAGTTTAAAGCATCCTGTTATCAACCCAATTAGTAGCAACAAGCGGAGTGTTTTTTATGTACAGATCCGTTATAGTATACTTTTGTTTTACAACTTTGAAAAGAGGGAAACAAAGACCAAGGAGTTCAGAGCAAATTTTTACACAACATTAAGGAGTGCTAAGAGATGAATGTTGGGCATGCATGAAAATGAGTGACTCAGGAAAGGAAGTGATGAGTTCAAAGAGGCAGTGAATCCTTTCCAAGGGAGAGCATCTGTATCGACTGAGAGTTAAAGAGCAAGTCACCCCCATAAACTGTAAACGGATAAACTGTAAAAATAAGTGTCTAATAGTGCTGTAGACATGTGTAGTTATTATTTTGGCAAATTCATGCATCTTATTTAAAATGAAAATATTTAGCTTAAAGCTGTCAGTTTGGCGCCCTGTTCAGGTTCAAACTCTGTGCACTACATTGAATTTGAATCAGCCATTGCTATTGGCTAAGTGGTACCTTGTGATGCTAGCCAGTGCCACGATGTCAGCTACACTACTGCGGTGGTTTAAAAAAGTATTCGAGTCTCTGGCTTGGCCACTCCTTGGTTCTCCAACTGAGAGTCTCTAAGGGGGTGGGCTAAGCAGTCTTTGTCACTCACTGCCAAAACTCCGCCCTCTCGATCAGCCTTTTGGCCTTGAGGCACATTTTTCAAAAAGGAACTGTGGGCGTAGTAAGACTTTGGTAAGGGGCGACTTGCTCTTTGATATTGTTTGTGATCATGGAAAATGAAGCGTTGGCATTCAGGAGTTGTTTGGTGCAAAAGATGAACAGGAGCAGTGGTGAAAACAAAGGGCAGAAAATGCTGAACTCAAGGAAAGAAACCATTTGAGTAAAAGATCAAACTAACCAGAGGTAGGGGCGCCAAATGATTTGCCATCTGGCGCTGAAGTAGTGCCCAAAAATGCTAAAAGAATTACAAGGACAAGAAATCATTAAAAGGGAATTCAGCGGTAAAATAAATAAGAACTAAAAAAAAAAAAGAGACACTAAGAGTGCAGTTTATTTTGCAATACATAGCACTCCCTAGCAGTGCCATTTTTCTGGCTGGAAGCCCTCTGGTTCTGATCAATACTGAGGTTCAGGCTGGGTCGTGTTTAGCTGATGCACATGAAGGGAAAGCTGCATTTACGTATTACCAACAGTTTGTTTTCTTGTTTTGAAACACAAATAATATTTCCATCATCTGCACAAGCTGAACACAACCCTTAATTGTACATGTCCATGTTGGTTTGTCACAGGCAGCGGTAGTTACAGGTGGCCATGTACTGTATGTGTGTGTTAATACTGCACATAGACTTATGTTGTTACTGGAGTGGTTACTGGTAGTGAGTGTGTAGGCTCACGGTGTATGTAAGGATGAGTTTGCATTTAATTTGCATGGAAGGTGTGTGTGTGTGTGTGTGTGTGTGTGTGTGTGTGTGTGTGTGTGTGTGTGTGTGTGTGTGTGTGTGTGTGTGTGTGTGTGTGTGTGTGTGTGTGTGTGTGTGTGTGTGTGTGTGTGTGTGTGTGTGTGTGTGTGTGTGTGTGTGTGTGTGTGTGCATGCCACAGGATTAACGGCATGGAGATGAGATTCATACCATGACAGTCTCCAAGGTGGGCCGTGTTTCCAAACTCGACATCCTGCTCATATCCAGTCCTGAAAATGGAGCAAAGAAGATCACATGGATATTATTTGGAACGTTGCAAACGATTCTTTTGCTCTTATCTGTAATTGTTGTGTTTTGTATGATGGCTGGGCCTTGAACTCACAAAACACCAGGCTGTATCTTCTCACAGGCCCCATGAGGCTTCCAGCCACAGTAAGGATCCCTTGATGCAATGCAGGACCTGGCACACAAACACAATCGCATCAAGTTTAATCATTACAGTGAAGGGTTACCGTTATCGTTTGTGACTGACTGAACATTAACCATAAGGCCGAAGGTTTAACTCTTATGATTCCCTTTATGACATTAACAGGAAAAACAAAACAATAAAGCCACATAGCCTGGACTGACCGCACAACACTCAGTGTGAGCAATATCACTTACTTGTGGCAGGAGGAATGCCTTTCGCAGCGACTCAGGGGGATACGAATAACACAGCTTGAAAAGGCAACATAAAGGCTGTGCGCGTCGTTGTCTACGTGCAGTGAGAGGACACGCTTGTCATCCTCACGGTTCGACAGACACCTGGGAAGGCAAAAAAGAAGTCTGTCTTCAGTTTCACTCTCAGTAGATCTAATCACTTGTTAGGTGAAAGAGTAACACAGAGTTTTTGTTTATTTCACAAAATAACAGGAATTGTACCTCTGAGAGACAACCCTTCTTAAATGGCCTCTACAACTGAGTTTACATCCAACAAGACTTGATAAGCTAATGGTGATCCTGAGAGTGGCCAAGATCAAAGTGTTTTTTGCTGTTGCTAATAAAAGTCTAAAAGTTTAACCCTCCCACTGTCTTCATGGGTGACCCCGCAAAGAAAGTTGACCATTGAGCAGGATTGATGGTTTATCCCTTCAGGTCCACGTGGCAGGAGTGAGAAGTGAGCACCACCTCACCCCTGCCACGTGGACCTCAAGGGATAAACCATCAGTCCTGTTCAGTGGTCAACTTTCTTTGCGGGGTCACCCATGAAGACAGTGGGAGGGTTAAAAAGAATAAACGTGCTATGTGTGAAATCCATTGACATTATGAAAAACGTGACTCTTTAGCGCCATGCAGTTCAGATATATTATTGCAGCTACGGTGGCCCACTCATGAACTTGATAGTATAATCTATTATCTCTCTAGCCTAACCCACATGAAGCTTATAGCTACTCAAGCAATTAAAAAACCTTTTATGATGTTTATGTCAACCTATTAGTCCTAACAAAATACAGCAGCAGTGCAGCTAGTCTCATCTTCTTCTTAGCTGATTGGCAGACTGCATGCTTCCAGGGCACAGCGCTGTCCCCTGCTGTTTCTTTCAGGCTATAGTCATAGTGCAAACCCAGAGCTCGTATGGCCTTAAATAGCTACTGCATTTCAAGATGGTGGATGACCACGGAGCGGCGACCACAGTTTATGTATTTAAAAATGTTACATTTCAAGCTGAGAAGAATACAGTGATCCCTCGTTTATCGCGGTAGATGCGTTCCAGACCTGGCCGCGATAGGTGAAAATCCGCAAAGTAGGGACACCATATTTACAGTACAGTACTATATTGAATTATCGTATGATCACTTTCTCTTTTTGTGGGTAAAACTCAAGAAAAAAATTTTTTTACTTGGTTTTTTTTATAGTTTTATTACAAAAAGTGCATTTTATGATGAAATTGATGGGAAAAAAACAGGAATTTCTTGATATTTCGCATAGAAAAATACCACGAATCGGTGAAAAATAACGCAAATCGGCGAATTTCCCTTGGATAAGGCTCCAAAGAAAAAATCCGCGAAGTCGTGAATCCGCGATAAACGAACAGCGAAGTAGCAAGGGATCACTGTATTTACAATTAATTTTGGTGAGAAATATTTATGAAAAAAGAGCAAGTGTGTGCACTGTATACACAGAACTTGGTTGTAAACCGGTAAAAACACCACACACCGGGGCTTTAACAGTGCTGTCAGTTTTGCCCAACACGGTTGTTTGTTTATTTTTAATTTTTGTAAAGGAGTAAATAACACCAGCAGAACAATGCTGCATTTCTGGTGCATCCAGGACTTTTTTCATAATTCTGCCAGAATAACCAAGTAATAAATTACTGTTTGAACAGTTATGACATTTAAAATGACAGCAGCCTGCTTTTGACTTGCCTGAGCACAGACAGGCCGTTGGCTCAAAAAGCTGCCTTCTAACAGAGGCTTATAAGCAGGTCATGGGCATGATAAAACTTGTGTAAAACGTTTATACAAAGAAACAAATTGGATGACTAAAATATCACTTTAAACCAAAAGTCACACAAATACAAAAATAAAAAAGAGCAAATCCTTACTTGGCCTTGTTGAAAATGTCCATCTCCTCCAGAAGCAGGCTGTCACCCAGGAAATCTGAGGAGGTCTTGGCTAGAACCTTGAGTATAACTCCAGACTCAGACCCAATGAAGACCACTGTGTAGTTCTTGTGGGGTCCAGCTTGGTTGTCAACAGCCAGAGCTGTTAGCCGGTAGCTGTATAAACAGCAGAGGGAACGTTATTGGAGGAGTTGACTATTTTGTCTCAGAAATATTTCTAAAGCTTTAAAACTCAACTTTTAAAGGGATATCAGGCCACTTTGCTTGCTTTTAGCACTCCCTAGTGTCTGTTATTAATTATTTGTGGTCAAAGCAAAAGCGAAACATATCTCCTCGCTGTGCGTTCGTCTTTTTAACAACTTGATCTAACTGCTGAAATGTCATCAGCCTTCATTAGTTTCTAGAGGAGCGGTTCATCACTAAATTAAACATGTCAGATGTGTTCATGGTCTAATCATGCAGGAAACGTGCTGGAAGCAGACTGCGGTGCCAGGTATGTCAGCTCAAGTTGTTTCTAGGTCCACCACTCCGAAGTTGCAAATGTGATATTCTGTCTACTGGGGGTGGTGGGGGTGACATTTCATTACCCCTGTAAAGGGTCATTTTAACTCATACTGGCTCAAGAAAATAATTTACACAATATGAAAAAGTTGCATTGTACCCCATATGGAGTTTAATTATATAGCTGATTATTTCTTAACACTTTGAGGAACGTGTTAAAAAAAAAAGCACAAGCACGTTCTTTTTTTTTTTTTTTTTTTTTTTTGCATATTTACCGGACACGTGTTTTGGTGAACCAAGGCTCATCCCCGATAGAAGGCACAGCTGTGTCCATAAGGGGGTGGGACTTGATGAACTGTAGGGTATCATCTGGAAACTCCACAGAGCTCTTAAAGGATGCAGCCGGACCATGACCAGCACAACTCCCAGGTCTGAGACAGAGAGCACAAAAGGTCGAAGATCAGCCAATCCGATCACACACCAGGGAGTAATGATAGTGAACAATGAATGGAATGAAAAATGCAGAGAGACGGGTGAGAGAGAGTAGCAGGTGCCTGTTCAGAAAAAAAAGGCCTCAGCTGGAAACATAAAATATACATAAGCATGATTATCCTCCATCAATGATTTATGGATATAATGAGGTGCTTTGTGGACTTTGTGTTTTGGATGCAAGGCAAGGGCTGCAGTTCTATGTGCTGACTGTAAATGGGTTAAATATTCAATGCTTTTAATTATGCCAAATTAATTATTTAATCACCAGCAGATGGCATATGCGTGTGCTGGGTCAAAGCTAATAACCTGGTGCCTTACTGGTGAAAAAGATTTGATTTCACTGGGTTTAACCATGACAAGGAAAAATTAAAAAAGAAGGAACTGTGACAGGTGGACAACAGCTGCCGAGTTTAACACCTGCCGTTCAAACAAGTGACATGTTTTACATCTGAAATTACACCTTGAACAGTGTTCTTTTGTTTCGCTCTTAATAGATTTTCTTTATGTCAAACTTTGAAATGAGAGAAGAAATGAATCTAACCGAGGTTTGGGCAGCTTCTCTTCTGGAAATGGTGTCCACACCGAGTCGGGTGTTTTCTGCTCTTTGAACCGACCAGAGAATACTTTTTCTATGTCCGTCATGGTAAAGGCACACACTGCTGACCCTGGGATACTGCAGAGAGGGGAAAAACACGAGTGTGTGACGTCTAAATGTCCAGGCTCAGCAGTTATTATTCCCGCTAACAGCAGTTTTGACTCACCTGTTCATCTGTGTCGTGAACACCCCCACAACCGAGGGAACTCCGTTGATGTCTATGATGTCGGTGATGGACTGAAGCACATCAAAGTAGAAGAAGGACTCCCCCGGCACGGAGCAGTTTAGCCTCGCCTTCACAAAGGATGTCCAGTGCTTCTCCAGCACCCGCTGCGACCCGCCAACATCATTCTTACAGATTCGGGCCACTCGAGAATACACAACCTGCAAGGAGCAGAGGTTGGAGAGAGGACTAAGTTGAGCGAAAGAGGAAGGCCTCTCAGCGAGTGTCACTAAAAAAGCTTCAACGTGCTGAATAATAAATAACTCCATCCTGTAGCAACTCAGCACAAATGACTGAACACGCACACGTGCTCATATTTAACTTAGTGTGAGGAGATTGCTCACCCTGACTAAACAAACATAAAAGAAGTCCACATAAAAAATCCCAGAGTTACTTAAAGCTGCACCACGTGAAAGTGTGTTTGATTGCACATATTACCGAGGCATAGGGAATAAACGAGGTACACGAGACAGTTGGCTTGGATGTTTTTAATAATTTACCAGTGCAAACCTCCATCAGAGACCAGGTGGCACCCCAGCATTAGTCGGGCTGAAATATTTAGTAGCTGGTGGCTGATGGAGGATGCCGACTTCCTGTGGCGTGGTCCAGCTCAGCCCAGGATGAGGCATGGTCAAATATGAAGCTGGCCTCTAACACGGAACATACCAATTCCCTCCACACTGCTCGAGAGTCATGGTGAGAGGGAGACACAGAGTGCAGTCTCTGGGAAGCAAATCCTTTCACTGTGTAATAGTTTTACATTAGCTGAGCATTCCCAGCAAACACTGGTCTTTGAAACCTCTTGCATTTTGATGTGATTTAGAGACGATGCCTGAATGGACCCCATTACCACCGGGCTCATTTGTGGCAGAAACTCATTCGCCGAGGGAGGCGAAAACCCCTTTTTTTTGGCTAAAAGGTCTGCTGTTTGTGGGGTAAATGTAATGTGTTATAAACAGCAGGTGCTCTGTCTTACCTTCCCCAGATTGCTGTGTTCCACTGCAATCTCTCGGTAGAAAAAGTACACGTAATTTCCATACTCTGCTGCATGCAGGAAATGAGGTTCTGAGGGAGAGACACCGGCAGAGAGTTAAAGTGTATTTCTGCACCGTCACCACCACTGTGCATGTTGAATATTTCAGAGATTTGTACAAGGCACTACATGACAGGGGTGACCTAGATTGCCTGCGAGAGAACAGGCCATCTTCCCGAGGAGTTTGGCAAGGCAGGAGAGGCCTCTATCACTCTGAAAACAGCCCTGGCAGTCACGTACGTACATGCTAAACACCAGGGGCATTTGGTTTTCTGACAGGTGGATACATGTAGTTCCAGGAAAGAAGAAAGAAAATTAGGATTCAGGGTTTCTAAACGGTGCCTTTTCATTACATGGCACAGTATGACAGTTGTGTGTGTGCCCCCCCCCCCCCCCCCCCCCCCCCCCCCCACCACCACCACCACCACCACACACATACACACACACACTTTCCACTGTCACCACTTTGTTGTTTGCGTGTGTTCATTAAAATGAGGTAGCCGGCACTTTAAACCAAAGCAACTTATAAGAAAGTTTGGAACAGGCTTTAAGGAGTTTTTGTTGGTCATTTAAAATGTGTTTTCGATTAAATATGATCACAATTACCTAATAAACAGCTTCCCGAATGACCTCCAATTGGAGAGTTTACATCCCACAGGACTGATGAGCTAACATCTAGTCCAATTTTCTACATTTCATAAAGATTCATGTGAATGTTACCTTTACAACACTGTCAACTTTTCATTAAGTGTTATTTACATTCAATTCTATGGTTACTCACAAGCATAAATACAATATAGCTAAATTTATTGGGACACCCAACAAAATCAATGCATGAATTCCTGTTTGGGTGAGGATGAACATGGTTGTGACTGTATGTCCCAATCCTTTAGGTTTTAGAGTAGAATAGACTATATTAATCCCACAGTAGGGAAATTCACTTGACCAATCACAGGTTCTGCATTTCTGCATAACTTTGTTACTAACTTGGCATGCTTGACATCTAAAGATGTGCCAAAACTGTTCCACTATCAGTTATGTGGTTCCACGAAAGCTAAACAGGAGCCATTTGCTCACCTTTCAGCCATTTGGAGTCATACTTGATGGTTCTCAAGGCTGATCCATCACCCATACTTCGGTAGATGACTGAGTCGCTGGCCTGGAAGTCAGCAACTGTTGCCGAATACAGCTTTCCTTCTAAAAAAACAAAATGAGAACAAAAATGGTCACAAAGATAACATTGCTGTTCTTTAATGCTCCCCCCACTCTTTTCTTTTATAAGGCTTAATTGGCAGAGTTGCTATTGCTGCAGGCACAGTTTTACTGTGGCAAAGACACGGAGGTGATAATGAGAGCATAAGTAGAAACACATTAGTTTTTCTTCTGTAAGACTAACTACGTGTGTAGGCGGATGTGTGTTTGACCCATACCAGCGAAAAGGGCCACATTGGTTTGCTTGGAGTCGAACGGGCACCGGGCCAGACCATTGATCTCCTCTCCATCAAACTCGAGGTTATCCAGCTGCAGGAAACGCAGAAAGCACCCACACGTTAAGAGGAGGGGTGTCGAGAGGCAGAGCGAAAACATATGTACATCGAAGCAGCGGCATAAATCGGACAAACCTAATGAAATAAAAAAGGCCTCTGAATTTACAGCTTACTGACCCTGTAGTATCTGCACATGGGGTTGAAGCCATTGGTGCCACAGATGAACACCAGGTCATCATTTCTGGGAACCAGAACTTTGATGAAGTTGTGACACTCATCCTGGAAACAAACACAACACACACACAGGTGTTTTTTAAGCGTTTTTTTTCTTCTCAGTGTCAGTTCAAAAGGTGTGTTTTTAATACGTACTCTGTGTTTTCCCTTTACAGCACACATCTCTCTGTCAGCTTGGCCCGATCGCCATGTTAACTTCTGTAAAAGCCCATATGGTGTATTAGACACGAGGACGTCAAAAACACACACATACACACTCCAGTATAGCCCTCCTTTTACCACTCTCATTTTACAACCTGTCCAGTCGGTGATGAATGACTCTGTGTTTTCTACGAAACTATTTTTTTTTCTTAGAGTTTGCGGATTGAGAGAGCAGCTTGTGGCGAGAATCTTACCCGGTAAGGAATGATCTCATTTCTGTAGGATTCCCTCAGACTGACGAGGTACACCTGATCTCTGTGGACACACAACAACAAAACACAGTCACAAACACAACAAGGAACACACTCCTGGAGGCTATAGGATTAAAAAAAGAATATAAAATCAGTTACAGGGTTGAATTTAAACCCATACGCTGTTCTCTAGTCACCTCTCCTTTTTATTTTTTCTCCCACACTTTAAAAACTTGTGAACGTGATGTAATAAGCAGCTCGTTTGCATAATTTTCTAATTGTTTTACAGATATTTTGTGAGACAATGACCTAATTTACAATGAACTGTTTCTGGGAGCTGTAACAACAACCCATAACTGTTTTGATTAACTGGTATTTAATTTTAAAGGAAGGCTGTAATCACTCTTTAGAGTGTAACCTGCTGCTTTTACTGAAGATGACAACAAAAGGGACAAAAAGGTACATGCTGTGGTGCTCTTTCGGGGAGCACGTTTGATTCTGATGATGTCAAAGTAATTTCCTGCCACAATATTTGCACTCGCACTAATTCCACTACCCATAAATACAAAAAGACATTTAAAGATGCCAAGAAATCCCTGAAAGCACGTCAGGCCGACATGATAGACGCCTTTCCACAATCAATACCGGCCATATACATCAGAAGCAGGGCTAGAAGCCACAGATCCAATAACACTAAGAGCTTTTTTCACCCGTATGCCTCTGTTTACCTGCCAGAGAGTGACTGAGTATATTGGTATGGGGGATGTGTGAAAGGAAATTATGACAGAAAGAAAGAGCAAGTGTGTGTGTGTGTGTTAAATTTACCTGCCAGCAATGAACAGCGTGTCCTGTATCTTGGTCATCAGCTGAAAGTCAAGATGATGCTGCGACTCATTGCCAGAGAGCTTTCCTCTGAACACAGGGTACTTCAGAGTAACTGCAGAGCCATCACACACGCACACACACACACACACACACACACACACGCGCGCACACACAGTTATTAATGATCACATAAAGCTCCGTCAGCTGTTGCTTGTTTAATGGCTCTGTGCTGTAGTGTAAGACATCCTGTTGCAGGTAAAAGTGCGGTGCATGTTTTCGACAATCAGATGTGTGTGTCTTTGGGTTGTGTTTATGTGCTTATGTCAGCAGCTCGCTTTGCAACTAAAATGGAAATGAAATCCACTCGCAACAAATGACCATACAGCAGATTGACTTTATGAGTATGAGAATGGTGAACGAACTGCTGACTCTTTGGAAACAAAGTGACTGCAGGCATTTTGTCTTAATTCTATAAGCAACGACAGAAGGTGCAAGGAGTGTATTTTTCAGGCGGGGTTGTACGTATTATCCACCTTTGCCAGTGATGAGCTCATCCTAGAGCCTATACTCACAGTGTGCGTCAATGACGTTGAGGGGCACGGTGTCCTCCGGGAAGCTGACTGCAAGGAGAGTGCGTGAAGCTGTCAGCAACAGCAGCAGAAGCTCACTGAGCAGAAGCGCAGCTCCTTGGCCCATGGCTGCTTCACAGACGACACTTCCTGTTTCACACTGGTGGAAATGTTACCTGGAGACCAACACAGAAGAGCATGTTTTTGTTCCTTAGCTGCAATAAATGTCATGCTACATCCACTGCTCTGAGGTTACCCCTGAGTCGAATCCAAGCAAAAGCTAAACCACAGGCAGCGGATGCGATACTGCACCATTTACATTCTCTTTTGATTTATTGATGGCTTTTTTTCAGTGGCCAGCTTGGCATTTCCCCTTAACCTCTCCCTGCATCTGCTGTCTGAGGGAAGGTCAGCCAAATGACCGGTGGGGTGTCTCTGTGTGTGTTTGGATGCAGCGGAAGTCCACCCTGTTAGGGACATGGCAGGCCTGCTGTCTCAGTACATCTGTGCTTCGACTGGTTTTACTGGGCAAGGCACAGCACAAATCAGCACACTGCAACTTCATCGCCATTGGCAGAGTAGCCTCTCCTCTGACCTTAACAGACTTTTACCAGCGCTCCTATTGGCGGCCATCTCCTCAGAGCCGATTCTCTTTATTGCTGCGCAGTGATTCACTCTCTCAGTTTTGCATTATCACCCATGTTTTGACATGGTTGTAATGTTGGTTGATAGTGGTTTATGTAGCGTCTGATTACAGTTATGATAAACCAAACAGCTGCACTTGTAATCATTTACTGTGGGAGTGGAAGCGGTTTAATGTTTATGTTAGTTAGCAAAGGAGTATTTTTGGGACAGAACGTGTCTGCATATTAATGACTGGTGTACATTCAAATATTTATAAGGCAAACAAATTATTCATGCAGGTAAAGCCTGAACGGATATAAACAATTCACTGGGAGACGTCACACAGGCAGAGGGATGGATTAGCTGGGGGCACACGGGGATGCACACACACACACACACACACACACACACGCTCATACACATAAGGTTGCACATACATAATCACTCTTTCAAATGATATAATGCAAAGTGTGTGTGTGTGTGTAGGGGGGGTTACACACACATTTTATTGACTAATTTTTCAATTAGCCCCAGAGCACACCTGCTCCACTGCTGTCTGTGAGCCAGGTCCGCCAGGCCATTAGTGCTTTGATTGATCCACACAGGAAACACGGACGATCATCAGCCAGAAAAGACAATCTATAGATCTCAGGACACCACTGTAGCAAAGTAAATCCTCTGCAAGTCTAAATCACTTTTGCAACACAGTGATTTTTGATTAACCCTAGACTTATAGAATATTCTCCAATAGAAAAACACCCAGAATGATCCATGACACGTAGGGTTGTCAGACGAATTAATTATACACAACTGTCAAGATGCAAATTAGACAGGGCTGTATTTACCCGATGGCATCGGTGTCTGTCAGAATGCCAGCCTTTTTATGAACATGCAGATTACATTAAAGCAACCTTTGTGCTAACACGTTGATGTAAAACACACTGCTTTTTTTCCCAGGTGTTGCCTGTCCTGTGTTGATCTAAAGAACGCATACTGACTAATGAAATGGGCTGCAAGTTGGAAGGAGTGTGATTCCAGGGTGTTTTAGTCATGAGCAGGGTGTAATCATGGCCATTCAGAACTCTGTGGGATATCAAGGCCTTTGAGAGAGCAGTGTCATTAATTATGGGTAATGCAGAACGATGCTTCAGCTTCATCAGTCCACATAATAGTTATTAGAGGCTTGATGTCTTGACAAAATGAGGAGCTTATAAAGACCAAACGACGTATCTCTCTTCTGTGTTTAATTGCTAATTGTGTACAATCAGCGATTTTCCTTTAGACATAAAATAATCTCTAGAATGAAATGATGCACAGAATTGTGCAAATCACTGGTAAGGAATTTACGTCATACACAAGAAGTGACAAAACAGTTTTGAAAACATGTTTCTTTAAAGGATTACAGCTCTTTTTACTGCCTGGTTTGCATACCCATGCACAAGGAAATGTGCTATTTTAAAATCCATGCAATAAACTGCTGAGTTTTAAAGAGAAGCTCGGGACAAGAATAGATACCAAATGCTCATCAACAACAAAACAAAACAAAACAAAAAAAAAAAGAAACAGAGGAGCTATGAAAAGTAAATACACCAAGCTCGGCAGTTCTAGTTTATGGTGCTATCATGCAAGCTGCAGGCTGCACTCATCGCCCAAACGTGGCTGTGCTCACAGGTAAAAATAATTTCCGTACTTGTCAGAATTTACAGTCCTTTTCTATGCAGCCTCTTCAAAAGCACTTTCTACTTTCAACCTCCTTCACTAAACGATTCAGACAACGTACAATAAGCAGGGACTCGGCTTGATTCTTTCCTAGCAGCCCAGCGGAAATGTTAATGAAAAGAAAAACACACTTTTGGAGGATCAGTGATCTAAAATTACTCCTCAGTCTCTTGCGAGGCCAGTTTGTTTTCTGTTGACAGTGTCTTTGCACTCTCTGGTTCCTGCCCTAAAGTGTCTGTGGGTGTATATGTGCGTGCATGCACACGTAGGCCTCGACAAGTCTAGAGACGCTTGGATTGTCACGCAACTCGGTGCCATTCAGCCCTGCCTCACTCTGCTTGTTATTACAGGATATTGAGTGGCCTACCACCACACACTTTCACTGCTGATGCCATTGGCTCAGACTCATGGTGTTAAACGCAGAGGGGGAGGGGGATCTGTTGGATTTTTGTTTCTGCTGGTCCCCATTCTGGTAGTTACAGCTCCAGCTTTAATGTTCCAAGCTTAAAACGACAGATCAACACTTTTCCTCCTCTTAGCGGTGTTTTCATTGGCACATGTAAGCCATAACCTCACCTCCATTGCAGCGCAGGATGGATGTGTTTTTGCAGGGCGGTCCTTCTGGGAGGAATTGGGGATAATAAAAAGATGGCAAACAACAGCGTTGCGTGAGATTTCGTAAATTGTGTGTGAATGTGATGGGTGGATGTAATCCCAGCAGAACAATGACCGCTGCTCCTCGAGGCTGCTCGACTTGTCATCTTGCACCGAGTTAAGCTGTAGACCTAACAACACGAGAAATCAGATAACTCAGGAGTTGAGTTTCAGGCGTTTCATTCCTCACGCTTTGCTGTAAGTTTAAATGCACACGCATGGTGTTCAGTCCGAAGCCGTGCACATCACAAAGCATGACGGGCTCTCTTGTGCGGTTCTGTGAAATGAACCCAGAGGCAGGCACATCGGAGAGTGAGTGAGTGAGTCAGATGATCAGTGCAGCTACCGCACAGGCTCCAGAATTATTTCTATTCCATTTCCCTCCTTCCCAAAGTAATAAACAGCATTCCTAACTGCAAGCTATTTATATACAGTATATCACTTCTGACTGGGTTGGTTGGACTTGTTGCTTCAAAGAATTGGCAGAAGAGGAAGGCAGTACCATCCTAAATTGTGCTTCCCTACTTTTTCTTGGCGAAGAGAGGAGTGAAACAAGAGAATGGCTGTTCTCAGCAGTAGTTCAGCTATAGTCAAGCACAAAAGCCTTTAGTTGCAGGTGTGACCAAGAGACAAGGGGCTTTGGGCTGCACAACACAATAGAGCCCCACCCCCGATCAGTGGACAAACGCACTGAAGAGTTGTTTTGGGGGTCCTGAAAGGGGTGGGGCTACGGGGTAACAAAGCTAACAAAACAAACTGAACCCAAATGCTGCACTCATGTTCAACTTTTTTACTCCTCCATCTATTAGGTGCCGAACGATCTGTGATCAGCAGTTTAGGGGTGCCATAAAGGGTTAACACTCATCACTGTACGGTTTAATGGTGGTTGTTCTGGGGTTACAGCTGGCTGTAGTGGAGGTTAACGGTGGTCGTTCTGGTCACCACGTTCTGACCCCGTGACCAGCGAGGTGCTGTGACACACTCAGGTCAGCTGTGCTGTCAAAAATAAATAAAAATGAAAAACATGGGGCTCTCTGATGTTTTTAGCAGGCCAAAATGTGGTGTTCCTGCCCTCTATCACGTCTGTAATTACAGTGAGAGCTAAGCCCTCTGATCTCAATGGCAAGAGTTCAGACACTTGGGATTTTCAGGGAGATGTGCACATCTAGATTTTTTTCTGCACAGATTTGCAGATTCTTTGACCACTAATGTAAACATGTCCGGGTGATGGATAAGGAGTTTTTCATTGTTAAGGTTTAGTTTTTCTCTCATTCAACACCTTTAGCCACACTTTCTTCTATACTCCAGGTTGAGGTATTACTCTTGCACCATAAGATGTTTTGTTTTTTAATATCGCTGTTCTGTTTTCGTGGCTAGTGTGAAATTTTTAAGTTTGCACATGTATCTAGTCTTGTTTTCATGCTCAAGCCCAGGCTCCAGTGCTTGCTTTGTGCAGACTGAAGCGTAAAGGCATCTGAGTTTGTCCATGGCAAATCGTTTCATACCCCCTTTTAGTCCACATGTAGGATTCATACAAAAGACAACAAAGACTCTGGGGACAGCGGTGGAGTGACAACAGCGATGGGGCTGCATTTAACTGCCTCCACAGCACTTAATTCATGCACAAGGATGGGCTTCTGCACTTGCAAAAGGTTGGGAGCGCTTTAGTTGTTTAATAGAATGATGGCGCAAAGAAACGTGGGGAAATTTAGAAATAGCAAAGATATCAGAGGAGGAACAGCTCAGCCTTCACGTTAACTGTCCGCCCCTCTCTTCTTATTGTTTAACAGCCCACCATTTACCCATCTATCCAGTTATTACCCTCCAGTTCATTATGTAGAGTCAGAAATAAAAAGAAAAGACTTTAATTCTTCCAATGAACAACGAAGCACACCTCCGGTTACAAACAGGAGCAGATTTTAGTGTTTGTAAATGAAATAGATAAGATAATGCTCATTGTAGAAAGCTCTATTTTACTGTCAGCCTAAAATATTCTCTTTAGAAATTGATTTTGAAGAATTGCACGTTTACTTTGAGATTCACTTTATTATGAATAGAATGAAGGGTGGCAGTAATTTCTCCTTCACAAGAATTCACAAGGTGTTTTGATAAGAAAATACTGAATTTTGTCATAAAAACTACATATTTCTCACTTAATCGTTAAGAGGAGGAGGAGCAGCACGGGACACCTACCTTAAGTAATCACGCATGAATGAGGTAGTCCGACTGATTGTTATATTCCTTTGATAATCCATTTGTGAGGGAATGCCCAGCCTGTGATATTCCTGTTATTTTAAGCTCCATCCGGACCCACTTTTTCCTCTTTTTCTCCAGATGCGCTTAGATCTCAGCTCCGCTCTCCACAGAGGAGCGTTTTGTCTCCGGTTCTCTCTCCTCTCCTTCCCGGGCCCCTCTGCGCTCTGATGAGTGATCTTCAAGGCTCTGCCACGACCACACAGCCCCCCTCCTCCCCTATACACCAAATACACCAGCCTCTTCCACTACGATTAAGTTCAGAAATCAGAGGGAGAAGACATCAACAGTAACGATGCGCTCTCCCTCCAACGAGTGCAGTCATTGGTGTGACTGGAGAATAACAAACGGTGCGCGCTGCGCGTAAAAATATCCGCCAAACGGAAGAAAGATCAGATGGACATAACCCTACGGGCTTGTTTACTATTTTAGACATTTATATAGTGACTGTAACAGTTTTAACATCCAAATTAATTCAACATTAGACAGAATTTCAACAGAGCAAACTGACTTAAGAACGAGGACGCGTAAACAGTTTCATGGTTGCTTCTCTCCTACTCCATGGGAGGAAAAACGCTTCCAAACACAAACAGGTTTATTTTTCCACCCTGAAATGAATAAATCCTAACAAGAAACTGTTTGGTCTGAAGTCCACACACAGATAGTCCGGATTTGAACTATTTCTGCAGCCAGTTTTGCAAATCTGCACAGCGACGTGTTCTGAAGGAATATTTAGCTCCCAGAAAGACTTCTCTCTAGTTTTCCCCTCGACTTTAGAATAAACGTGGCGTAACAAAGTGCATCCGAGCAGCAACGAGGGACTCACCTCATCTGAATGGATTGTTTTGTATCCTTTATGCTGTAATCCAAAACACAAAAACGGACCTTTGCGCGTCGCACTGAATCAACTTCTCCTGCGGCTGGGAGAAAAACAAAGTAATGCACGGCAAATGGTGTATGTAATTCGACCCGTGCTAAGTCAATCCATCCAGTGCGAGAACCACAGCCTACCAATAAGCAGCGCTCTTGCTCCAGTCCCTCCCCCATCATCCATCTCTCCTCGGTTGGTTTGGTCTTCTCTCTCTGCGTTCGCTCCTGCTTCCTTCTTTTCTCTCCCAAAGCCCACAGAGAAAGAAAAAGCGAACCCCTCTCCCCCTTTCCACTTGTGTGTGTGTGTGTGACCCCGTATTGCCACCCCTCCTTTCCATCCTCCTTATGTTAAGCCCCCCATCCCCCCAACTCCAAGAGTGGCCAGTTAAAATCATTTCAGCAGTGTTGTGGCAACTCGCCAGCTCAGTGAAACGCTTTGGACATGTTTGGATTTAAGACAGAAAAAAGACATGGCACATATTTCTTCTTCTTCAGAGCATCTCTTATTGAACATTCAGAAATAATTATCAGAAACGTACTAAAGTACAAAAAAGTTGTGTTGATTGAGTAATATTGTTATTATTATCTTCAGATGTTTTAAAGTGTTTCAATGGAGCTCATGGACGTAATTTGGGGGGGGGGGCAGGGGGACATGTCCCCCCCACTTTTTCCAAAGTCAAGTTTTGACCCCTGCACTTTTTACCATCCAAAAATAATATTACGCTATATTAAATTGACACTGGCTGAGCACTAGGACCAAGCGGAAAACAACCGTTGAAGCCGGTTTCCCATTAGAACATACTGTAAAGATACCCCCCCCCCGTGTCCCCCCCACTTCTAAAGTGAAAATTATGTCCTTGATGGAGCTACTTCCCCAAATTCTAACACAACATAATGTTAAAGCTGTTGATAGTGACTCATTCAGATCGCCATGGTAACCACTCACCTGTGCTGCCCAGGCTCTGACAGCATTAGTGGCAGAAAGGAATGCAGACTAAATTGTCTGTTTAACAACCGCACTTTGCAACTTTTTTATATTTTGAAATCATTTTCTTGAGCCAGTATGTGCTAAAATGACCCTTTCCAGGGTTAATGAAATGTCACTCAGACCCCCACCGCCCTCTGTGGCCAGAATATTGCACTTGCAACTTCAGAGTGCCTGTCCAGTTCCTGATGGACTTAGTCAAAGTGGAGCTGACATACCTGGCGCTGGAGTCTGCTTCCAAGACGTTTCCTGCATGTTTTAGATCATGAACACAGCTGATTTGTTTGATTTAGTGATTGATCATTCCTGTGGACACTAAGGAAAGCTGTGGAGACATTTTAGTAGTTAGATTAAGGTGTTAAAAAGACGAACGCTCAGCGAGGAGGTAAGTTTCTGGTTTGCCTAACAGACACTAGGGGGTGCTAAAAGCAAACCAAACTGCTAATTATCCTTTAAAAAATCTCAAAATCTTAAAATTCAACCTACAGTTTTGTGAAAAGCATAAGATATATCAAAGCACAACTTCATGCATATAAAGTCGAACTCTCAGTTACTCATTTAAACTTTGTTTGGTGTTTTTACTGAGAAGTCTCTCTGAGCTACAGAGTTATAAAGCCCCATTGTTGATTTTGTTTTAGAAGTTTGACACTTTTTTTGGCGCGAATTAGCAAAAAACGTCTTTAAAAAATCATTCATTCCAACTTCAATTGCATCCATTAACAGTAAAATATTTTCTATACCCCCCAAAATTATTTTAGTAAAAGTTGAAAATACCGTAGAACAATTTAATAAAAAAGCTAAAAAAAAAAAAAAAAACTCCACAAACAAAACTTGTAACAGAATAGTAATAATGTTGCTTCGGTGCTTGAGGCTTTTGCTCTTTTAACAAAAAAAAAAGCAAAAAAAAAAGACATTTTAAACTACAATGAAAAAAACTTTTTGTTTATCCTAAAACTAAAGCTTTCTATTGGAATGTTCTACGTCTGTATAGAAGTCAGATGTGGGTGTAGGCCTTGTGCATTCTGCTTGCACGCATAAACATCGGTGTATCAGTGTGAACATCTTCCCGTGTACATGTGAAGCTGAAGTCGTCATTGAACGTGACGGGTCATTCCAGCCAGGTCTGTCAGGCCAGACAAAAGAAGCCCATTTGCATCCCATTAGAGAAGCAGGGTCGCAGATGTGTGAGAATCCTCCACGCAAGAACATCCTCGCCCACTTGCACACACGCTTCCTGACAGCCCCCATTATTTGGTGCAAAAGTGGGATCTGCATCTCAATACTTGTATAGGAAACTCTGCTGATCTGCCTGATCCTGGTTGGCACTTCTTGCATGTTTTTGTCCTAGCTTGCCCCGCCCATTTCCTATTTTTTTGTGATTTCTTAATTTTCTGTCTCTTCTGTTTTAGAAACCCCTTGTGGTGCCCTATGTTAGTGGTTGCAAAACTAGATTGTCTCAGCTGATGTTCCTCATTCCTCATTTCGATGTTTATGTGACTTTGTGTTCCCGTCTTCTTGTTGCTGCGGTGTCTTTGACAGATCTGGGGCCTCATTTATCAAGCTTGCTTATGCACAAAACGGGGTCTAACTGCGTTAGCAACTTTCCACGCAAACTTTGGGATTTATGAAAGAAAACTTAGCAGAAAACTGTGCGCAACTTTAAGTTGACTAAGGACCTGGCTTACGCACATTTTGGACATGGAGAGCACCTGCAGTGCTGCTGCTGAGAAGGATAAAATTATGAAATCCTGCAGCATTACCACTTGTACTGCTTCGTTTTCACACAGAACAAGACCCCCCACTTGCACACACACGCACGCGCGCGTACACACACATGCGTGCACACTCACACTGACGTGCACGCACGCACGCTCACACACACACATACACAGCCTGAAGTGCAGAATACGGAATGCAGAATGTCAGCAGGGGGACAGATTGAGACAGAATGTCATGCGTCTGTGACGGTGTGTGTCCTGTCACTGTGACCCGATTGATAATATGCCCTGGCTAGTTGAACAAGGGAGATCTCTGTTTGGCTGACTGGTGAGCATGCACGACTTTCACCTGGGAGTCGAATCCCGATTGGATCTTTTTTTTATATCCGCCACAGATCTCTCTGAAGAATTCACAACATTGACGGCTTCAGCAACGCTGTGCTACTTCGTGGGTTTTCTCTTACTTGTTTTGCAGAAGCACTTCCTTTCATTTCTCCACTTCACCCACAAGTACCTCAACTTCTGCTTCTGTGAAATTGCGCTTCCTTGATCTGCCTTGATCTACGGTCGTAATGTCATTGGCGGAGCGCTGCAACAGCTGGCTTATGTATATGCATGAGATCCACAAGGCACTTTGCATTGACTATTTATGGCAGTAAGTGGGCGTGGTGGGGGCGGGATGTGACTAAAATGCAGCTGAGAAACATTCTCGTTAGTCTCTGATTTATGAAGCGGAGATTGCCTGCAGCTGTGCGTACTTCATGTTTGATATATCACAAACCTACTTGGCGTAAGTACATTTTTTTTGCTGAGCTTAAGTACGGTTTTAGTAAGGATTCTACGCAATGTTTGATAACTGAGACCCCATGGTTAATTCCATGTGGTGTCCTGGTTTTCCTGTGGGGACTGAATCAGCAGGATGTTCTACATATGAGAGGATATATCGGATGGATAAATCAATGTAGGTCTTGGCTGTCCAGGTGGATGGATAGATGTGTGTGTGTGTGTGTGTGTGTGTGTGTGTGTGTGTGTGTGTGTGTGTGTGTGTGTGTGTGTGTGTGTGTGTGTGTGTGTGTGTGTGTGTGTGTGTGTGTGTGGTTATTGGTGAGCTTATTGATTAGTCCTTTTATTCTGGAGTACTGACTCTTTCATTGTATAACGGCCATGTGATAACATTCCAATAAGTTTAACTGGTCATTATATGGTATTAATATAATTAATATTATATATTATTTATATATGATATTAATATAATTAATTATATATATTAATCGTTAATTAATCTGATTTTATCTGTATTTTAAACCTGATTCTTTTAGCGTATTTTGTAGGAAATTATATCTTCACCCATGCTCTGAAACTCTTGTGTTGATCATTTATAAAATTAGATTTTAAGCCCATCAAAACAAGCAATAATATTTTAAACGGTCTGTTAAATCCCGTCTCCTCTGATTTAAAATCTCAGATCCATAATTTCTTGAGTCATGAAGGAGGAGCTAATTAAATGGAGGCACAATTACAAACATAGCAGCAATAAAAGACAAGCAGATGGGTGAATCACAAAGGTCTTCAAGTCTGGGAGGTTCAGTCTGATAGTACGGGTGGACAGATGAATGTGTTGATAGTGAGAGATGGGGAGATAGACGGTGGGAAAGTAGAGTTATGTGGAGGGGCGGACAGAAGACAGAAGGCCCGTGCTACTCCCACAGGGCCGATAAGCTCCCTTCGGGTTTATGCAGTGGGAAGGTCAGCCCCAGGGGATGGGTGTGGGCTGGCCTGAGGGTGCAGAGGAGAATGTGTGGGCTTGGCCTTGTACAAGAGAGGTGCACCACCCTTCACTCCTTTATTTACTACCTTAAATAAGGCTACAGATGGCATTGTGTCAAGGTTGGAGCCTGAGGCCATGTGAGATGATGCTCAGGTGCAAGCACTTCACAAAAGCTACTCAGTCAGCTGAGGAGGATAAAATAATCAACACCAAAAATAAAGGAGCAAATTATAAAAGGTACATCAGAGACAAAAAAAGGGAACAGAAGCAATCCTGCTCTGACTGGAGTCGTAAGTGTTCTTTCTGATGGCTGCCTCTCGCTGTGGAAACGGTCTGGGCTCAGCCGCCATGCTGACCTCTGATTAATTAAGAGGCCATTTCTGGTGCTCGGCTGGTCTCGGGCACCATTTGTCACCTGACTGTGTAGCCCTGTTGAAATGCTTCACGCCCTTCAGTCTACATGCAGATATTTTCTCTG